AAGTCAAGAATTGTCACGTACTAATATGTGATTGAATTCTGCAATGACACTACAGATGTTAGCCGCTTTGAAAAATTTTCCTCCAGAAGATTTAACATGAAAAGCATTAGAGAATGAGGGTAACACTGAACTTGTACTCTGCGTACTATCGGTGTGAATCTGCTCCTGATAAGTTGGCCTGGATTGTTGATCTGAACTATTTGAACACAGTCGGGAAACNGATAATTAAAGGATTATAAAGTTATCTAAAACAAATAGAAAAATTACGTACAGTACTCGGCATCTTAGTTATGGAGAATCATGTGAAAATTGTAAGGATATGGACTGTCGACTGCTACAAAGCATAGAAAGAGAAAGTATCTCATCATTCGTGAACTAAATAACGGGGGAAAATCCAATGGAACCAATATAGATGGAGGTAACACCAGGGTCTGCTCGTAACGGATGATCCCTCGGCTGATCATTGGCCATTGTAGTTGAAGCATAAGCTGGTGAGAGACTCCGATGAAAAAGGCGGAGGAATCCCAGTTCCAGAGTAAAACTTTAATTACCAGACGAGGTAAAGATTCTTTCATAATCTATGGAATACGGAGGCGCGCTTTATTTTTATTTTTATCCCAAGCCGCTGCGGATATAATTTCTGTGATTTTTTCACCCTGGGCTTCTCTCCGTCTCTCTTTCGTGACTAGGTAGTAGTGATTTTTTTTTTTTTCGTAAAACTTTTTTTTTTCTTACTTGACAAATTAATTAAAATCTCGACCACAGCTTGTGGTGGCAACTGCGGATTTCCAATCGTAGCTGCAGGATAGATCGCCGCTACGAGCAATCCGCATAATAATCAATTCTGACAAAGAAAGTACGGATTTAAGTCATGTCGTGACTCAATGTACTTATCGAACTTCGCACTGATATCTTCCGCGTCTATTAGAAAGTATGAGAACGAGTTTTGGATAAAAGAAAAAAATATAGCAGCCACCAATTTATGGAAAAAAAATATAGTAATTTTAGCATACATTATTGCATATTTTAACTTTAAAAAATAGCAGGATTTCATAATATACCCTACTTTAACATATGTACTCAATTTTAAAAAATTCCATCAATTACGTACTTGTATATAATTATGTATGTTTGTTTCGAAGATAACTTCAAATATAAGATGCTATAATGTAAACGAGTAAATAATAATGTGAAAACATGTTTTTCTTAAAAATTATATGCCTGGTATTTCAGGTGTAATAATAAATTAAATAATACAATTACAAGTTTTAAATAACTTTATTTAACTCTCATTATTACAGTGAAATACAGTTTTTTGCCTAGTTTCTTTGAAAAATATAAATAAATTACTTATAAGTCACATTAAGATCATCCAATAAATCTATAATGTCCTTTTATAAACAATTATCGCAAAGGAGCTGATTTCTATTTTTACACATTACAAATTACTTCTACTTTTTTTTTTTTGCTACAGTTACACTTTATTCGACAGTGAGCAAGAACCCACATAAGAATGATAACAATTTAAAATTTTTTAATTAAACGATTAGATTTACATATTTTGCAACTTTATCAAAAATCAGCTGAAATCACAGCTTATTTAATTGGCGTAAAATGTTAAAGTCAAGAATTGTCACGTACTAATATGTGATTGAATTCTGCAATGACACTACAGACGTTAGCCGCTTTAAAAAATTTTCCTCCAGAAGATTTAACATGAAAAGCATTAGAGAATGAGGGTAACACTGAACTTGTACTCTGCGTACTATCGGTGTGAATCTGCTCCTGATAAGTTGGCCTGGATTGTTGATCTGAACTATTTGAACACAGTCGGAAAACGTTGGGTTGATCACCTATATGAATTCTCTCGTGCCTTATAAGATGGGATTTTCGTTTAAAACTTTTTGAACACACTTGGCAGACGAAGGGCTTATCCCCCGTGTGAGTTACCTCGTGTAATATGAGATTGGCTCGTTGAGTAAAACTTTGTGAACACAATCGGCACTTGTACGACTTTTCGCCTGTGTAAATCCTCTCATGTGTTATAAGAGTGGACTTTTGAGCAAAACTTTGCAGACACACTTTGCACTTGTAAGGCTTTTCGCCTGTGTGAATCCTCTCGTGTGTTATAAGAGTGGACTTTTGGGCAAAACTTTTCAAACACATTTTACACTTGTAGGGTTTTTCCCCCGTGTGAGTTACCTCGTGTGATATGAGATTGGCTCGTTGAGTAAAACTTTGTGAACACAATCGGCACTTGTACGGCTTTTCGCCTGTGTGAGTCCTCTCGTGTTTTATAAGAGTGGACTTTTGAGCAAAACTTTGCAAACACACTTTGCACTTGTGGGGTTTCTCCCCCGTGTGAATCCTCTCGTGTGTTATAAGAGTGGACTTTTGAGCAAAACTTTGCAAACACACTTGGCAGGCATGGAGCTTCTCACCCGTGTGAGACTTCTCGTGCCTCTTAAGATTGGATTTTTGAGAAAAACTTTGCGAACAGACTTGGCAGGTGTTGGGTTTCTCTCCAATGTGAGTCTTCTCGTGCCTAATAAGATAGGATTTTCGTGTAAAACTTTTTGAACATACTTGGCAGGAGTAGAGCTTATCACCCGTGTAAGTATGCTCGTGATCTGTCACATGGCCTTTTTTTATAAGAGATTTGTCACACACTTTGCTACATTGGGAATCATGTCCTACACGAATGTCTTCGTCTCTCTTGAAGGTGTTGTTTCCCCTGCAAGTTTTACCACACACGTCAGAACTTCTGCCTTCGGCCATACTCGTCAAGGATATGCTGAAAAATCCAAACGAGTATTTAGTGACAAGTAGTTGTCTTCTTAGCTGCAATTATATTTATGACAATGGATGTTCAGTTTATAAGGTATTTTTCTGTATTCAACGAGTAAATAATTATCACTATGTATAATTGTATACGTAGTTATATTTCAAAATGTGTATATAATTGAAAATCAATATAATATATTTTGTAACATAAGCAAAAGATAATACCTCGAAAGGAGGATATACTAAGTGTTTTAAAAATTTATTGCTAGAAACAAAAACTCACTTTCTGGTTTTAAAGTCCTGATTGTGAAATAGAACAGTTGTGTTGTCCAAGTGCTTTTACGTTAGAATTTTTTGTACGATTTGTGCTGCCAATTCTTGAGTAATAAGTGGTGTTATTGGTAAGTTCATTTAACGCTACTTTGTAAAAACAAATAAGCATAAAGATAATATTCTAAATCATATATTGTAACGGTAGTTTTGACTCAAGATGATTAAATTCGTTATTTTCTAAATCAACCATAACAATTTAACCCATTCTGCCAACAATTGTCACAGTCACTAATCGTGGACATATTCCAGCTTCGACTATCATTTTTCAAACGTGTCGTCATACATTTTTAATAGTCTGAAATGTATTGCTAATGAATTGTTAATAGGTTTCGACTGTGCAAGTAGAGATAGGCAATGAACCTGTGATGCTCAAAAATTAGTTTAAAAAGTATATGTATACATGAAATTAAAAACAAAAATTGCATACAGTAAGTGCAGGGTAAATCTCAATTCTCGAAAAATGTAATTTATTCAGAACAAAAGTAGGCCCTGCTAGTTATAGTTTTTTAGTGTTTTTTCAATAAATTTTTTAGTGATGAATGTAGAAAACACATTTGGCTTAATGACGGCTTGAGTTCATAAATTCAACTACTAATGCTTCTCACTCTGGAAAAAAAAAAAAATTCGTTATTTAAATATAATTTTGAAAAAGCCACTTGAATCCAGCGTCACGTTTCGATTTACAACAATATGCTTTAACTAAAGATTGTGATATTTTTTTTTATCAAACATTTCGCTGAAAGACAAGATAACCATAGACACACGAAAGTTCATACATTCGTTCACACAGTACGTACATTCGAATCAACGGTAAAGGAGCTCTTAATCTGTAGTCGAACTGAGAAAAGATGATAAATAAAACAAAGGAAGGAAGATGGCAAAAGCCATACCTATTATGTGGCATATAAATTGGACTGAATCCAACCAAATTTTTTCGTCACGAGCTTTGGAAATTCGCTTTAGAACATTTTCGGAAGAGCACGTATATAATGTACACACATATACTCTTGGGCCGTCAAGCACATTTACATACCTATGCTACGGATTGCTTATCGTGGGAGAGATGCGCACAATACGAGTATAAGAGGACGTCCGTCGATTATCGGCGTTGAGCGAAATTACAGCTACTACGTACACTAACCGTCCAGTGCTCTGTTGGTTAAACGCACTATTTGCTACGAGAATAATACCACCGATTGTATAGGTAAATTGTCTAGTTACATATCAAGTACAACCACGTGGTACTGAGCACAGCTATATGATAAAAGTAAAGGATACTGGAGGACACATGTTATTGAATCAAACAATCGTACAATTGGGCCTGGAGCAAACGACAGATAATTGTCGGTTACAATTGCTGTTCTTCTTTCTTTTTCGAAGATGATTGACTTTCTTTCGAGTCGCAATTATGCCAGTCCTTCCAAACGTGACAATGGTTTGATTCATCGTAAAATAAAACGTAATAAAACGAGGCTGATTTGTCGTTTGTACCATTTTAATCCCAACATTATTACCCATACACGCACAAGACAATAAAACGTCTATTATAACGCTATAAACGTTAAAAGCACATTTCAAGTATGATTGACCGATGCACATTGAGATATTACTGACGTCACCCCATTGTGCAATTCGCATAGGTATAGGAGACTCCGTACTTATACACTCGCTCGCGGAGAAGTTGATTTCCGTTGAGTTGAAATTCCACGCCCCTTTTGGCTTCTTTGAAATCGCGGTCGGGAGGTGGTGCATTGAAATTCTCTCCTCTCCCCCTTTCACCTCCCCTAAACCGAACCCACATCTGCTCGCATGTATGATATACATTGACACGGTACAGCTTACAATTAACTCCTCGTTGGGACACGATTGTTTGTATTTTCCAGAGCTTTGCGAGGAGTGGGCGCTTGCGAGCAGTTGCGAGTCGGTGGGCCCGAGCACGTCGTCGAGCGCCGAAGTGGTGAGCAGCAGTGCACCAACGAGTGCGAGTACTAGCGCGAGTAGCAGCCGCACAGGACCCGATGAGCCCGACCTCCTGCCCGAGACGAGCTTCGAGCTCAAGTACTTTGGCTGCACCCCCGTCGAGTCGCCCTCCAGCGAGAAGGAGACGGCCCACGTCATCAAGACCATCGTGTGCACGGTATGGGCTGCACGTGTTTTCATTTTTGTAAACACGTTTCGGTACGTAAACTTGTACAATTCTATTACCTATTACCTTTTTTTGATTCAGTGGGTTCAACTGAACTTTGCACAGTAAATGTGACAGCACGGTGTGCTATTGTGCTCATTCGCGAGCAGGTAACTGATTTTATCATTCAAAAAATTCAAATTTTGCACAAATTTCGATCGGACAAGAATGTAGGACGAGTATCTTATAAAAATAGAGCTAAAAAATTAACTGAGGTTCTTTGACCCTCTTAGTTTTGGTTGTATCGACGTCTGGTGGGGTGGAATGGTACCGTATCCAAATTTTGGTTATAAAACACCTAGTACATTGATACTTGAAAAAAGTATGTACTCGACACTCGAAAAAGGTAAAAACGTAAACCATACCTCGTTCTCGATATCTGCAGTACAACAGAACCCTCCTGCAAGTATTATTCTGAGAAAAAAAGCCTATGGACTACTGCATTAACGATCAATCATCTCGCCACCCGACGATGCATTATTGTTCTTCAACAAAAAGAGTAATTAGACACACACGCTTGTACAACAGCCGTACATAAACATTTATACAATAGTCCTCTCGCCTGTAATATCTATAAACACGCGCGGTAGTAAATAACACCATGTCCACCATAATATACATGAGCGGGTGAGCCCGTCGTCATGACTTACGAGGAAGCGTATTGTGCGGTCGGGTTCTCCGGGTGGGCGATGAAATTGCTACCTCCAAAACTCGCTGTTGCTGCAACCCATACGTATGATGATTCGCTCGCGCCATGTAACGTCTATCAACGGAACCGCCGCGGTATATACAATATGAAGGAGTTTGAAACTGACATTTTCAACGAAACGAACGAGTGTTTCGTGTATGCTTTTGTAGCTATTATTAGCTAATTGTATCAACTTGGCGTGGAAAATCGATTATCGAATGATCGACGTTGAGGCTGATTGGTTAATGATGCCAAGGGATATAGAGGGGATGACGAGTTGACGGCTGCGACGGTGATGGACACGGTGTATCATCCGAATCGACTTTTCAATCATACGTGACATACATGCGAAGCGAAAGATTCGGCTTTCGATTCATTCGATAAAACGTTATTTGTTCTCGAACGCGCGGAACAACGTTCAATTCGCCTACCTTTGAAGGACACGAGTTTTTGAATTACCTTACCGTCTCACTCGCGTTTTTTTCCCCAGTGGGTGCGGGGGGAAAGTACAGCCGATCCAATTTCCACGTTTTCTCCTTCCCCGTTTGGCCGTCGTACGATCGCACCCTTAACGTGTACATCCGCGGGCACGTAGCCTTTGTATGATCCAAAAAGCCTATAGTTAGGGTGACCGGGAAATTTGCTACTCACAGAGCCACCACGTGTACGGCAACAGGGTCAAATTACAGGGGCGCTGCTGCCTCCACGTAAGTGTAGAGCCATCGGTGGATCCGCCTCGTGTGATCACCCGTAGAATAACATGTATAGGTATATGTAGCGTAGTATAGAAGCAGTTTCCTTTATACTTATTTGTACACCTTTACATGTATGCATATGTACTTCTTGGACAATTTTATTTTTCGTGTTAAGGGGGTGTGTTGTGCAATATCTATGGTTTATCTTTGTTGCAAAGTGTTGGGTTGTCTAGGAAAAAAAAAAAAAAAAAAAAAGTAAATCTTAGGGGTCTCGTATTTTTATTTATTTTCTAGTGTTATACATGTCAGGCAAACTCTACGGCTGTAAGCAAAGAAAAAAAAAGTAAGGCAGTATATAACGCAGATGTGGATATCCACGCTGTATGCAGTAAATATACAAAGGGTTATACCTATACATATACACATGAATACCATATATATTATATGTGCGTTGGAATGTTGGGATGATTGACGCGTCTGACGTAAACAGTCTGTTACTACTGTTGTGCTCTGCTATACCCTATACCTATGCCCGCCGATGTATATATTGATGTATGAGCTGTTCTTTTTTTTTTTTTTTTTTTCAAAAGAGGTAGAGAGACTCTCAATAGCATCGATATACTTTGCTTCAAGATCTTCTACTTTGTCATTTTCATCATCATCGTCGGCCGATCGTTATAAATCTTAACGATTTTTAAAACTAAAAAAAAAAAATTAATTAAAATTAGTGACGGAAAGGGGCATGGTTTGCCCCAATTCTAGCGGACTAGGCCATTTCCGTCACTTAATTAAATTTTGCAAAATTATCGAAAGGTACTCAGATATCAATTGGTGTACGACCTAATCAGTGGAAAAGGATATTGTGAGGGGATATTACATGCTCTGTTTGTTGAAGGGGAAAATTTTCTCAGAGGTTTTCAAAAAAATATGGATTCAATTTAGGTAAATTCTATTATTAACCGTAACTTCATACATCTTGAATTTGTGACTAGACGAAACATCAGTTGTTCTAATAAAACTATGGTTCAAAGCTTCGGATAAGGTTCAAACAAGAATTGGTCAGCGTCGATGTTTCATTCATTTAATCTCGTCCTACGTTCTCTCGCAGCCTCCCCATTTTCGGGAGAAGTATCGAAGACTTGCACCGCGTGAGTCGATATGTGCTGTTACTCTAACGAAGCCAATGCGCTTTTCTAGTTGATCGTATACGAAGTACTTCTTTTCGGTCCAGCGCATCGGAGAAAAGAACAGAAAATGAGGTGGAAAAAGTCGAGAAAGCACTACTGCTTTGGCAACATATTCTTTTTTTTTTTCTTCTCTTTTCTGGGTGTGGCGCACATACCTTAAAAAAGGCTTGGGTCTAAATGTCTTCCTTCGTCTGCGGTTTCAGGCAAAGGCAAGTGGAAAAAAGCTCCAGAGAGTCTCGTTGGCCGTGAGTTTGCGAGGCATCCGAATGACGGACCTGACCACCGGAGAGGAGCAGCTCCGCATCTCCATATACAGGTACGCTTCTGCACGACAACCTCAATACTCCCCCCCTTAACTTTTTTTCAAAGTAAAAAAAAAAACGTAATATTTTTAAAAAACGGTGCGCAGCATCTCGTACTGCTCGGCCGACGGGGCCCACGGCAACGTGTTTGGCTTCATAGCGGCGAACCCGGAGGAGATCCTCGAGTGCCACGCCTACCTCTGCCCGAAGCGCAAAGTCGCCCAGACGGTCACTCTGGCCGTGGCCCAGTCGTTCAACGCCGCGTACGAGCTTTGGCAACTGGCGGAGCTGGACACGGGCGCCTGCCACCCCGAGCCCCAAGGCCCACAATTGTCGAATGGGAATGGCCTCGCCGATGAGGATGGACATGACGAACAAGATGAGGGTCACAAAAAAGGTACAGGTGCTTGACCAAATTTGATGGAATAGTACATTTCGGGAATTAATGATTTGGAATTAAATTATTTCGGAGCCCATGATGACGGTCTAAAGTGATCAAAAGTAAATTCAGTTGAGCGCGAGTTACAAATGTCAATGGTGAATGCAGTTTGTCAAAAGTAAATAAGTAAACAATACATAGCGGATTATTAATGTCAATGGGTTTTGCGCTGCCGTACTAAGAGAAAAAAAGCTATTGAGTTTCTGTTGCCCGTGAAAAAAGAGCTTTTACCAGGTGTTCCTGCTGTTTGTACTGACGCGTTGTTTTTTTTCGGAAAACAGTTAACTTTGGTACAATATATCAAGTTTCAATTGTCTCTTGATCGAAAATTTTCGAGGGTTGAAAAAACAATAGATTCATTTGTAATTGCTGGTGGACTTCATGAGTGGATGTGTATAAATATACGCACTTGTATGTGAAATGCAATGTGCTCTTCTGGCGAAATTTTTTTGTTTTAATTAGATGTCATTATGTTACTTTTCGGGACTTTGTACATGACATCGTCCGATATTGGCCACTAAATCGTGATACAAATCATCTAACGAGTGAAAATACAGTTGTTTTTCTGAAAATAAGGAATTTTACAATTAATTTGAAACCATAACATTAATACAAAGATATACAACGAATGACCACAAAATTTTATCGAAAGATGCAAATAATAGCCACGTGGAGCTAACGAAAAAAAAAAAAAAAAAAAAAATGAAATTCGTATTATATTATGTACATAACTCTCATGCACAATATAGTTAAAGTGTATGGTACCGAGCAAAAACGTTATATGTATCTTTGTACAACAGCTTTTCGTCTATGGACACGCGAGTATAACAAGCCTCGAGAGACGTTGTTACTCTGAGAATGACGGATAGCCGCGCTGGAGTAGAGCATAACTTGCATACGTATATTACGGAGACGTACACGCGCACAGGTGAGATGTAAATCTCTTTTCTTTCGCAGGAGCTGTTTCGGACGAGAAAAGCCCGGAAGAGCGACGCAAGTGCAAAGGCAGCCTTCGTGGGAGGAACAAGAGCTCGAGCCACAAGACAAACGTCGAGTCCAAAGTTGACTCTTCTTTGGTGATTATTCTTACACCCATTATGTTTTTGTTTCGTTTCTCTAATTATTTTTTCCATTTACTTCTGATATTTCGATCAATTGGATGTGTCCGTGTGTGTTTGTCTGCGCAGAAAAATAGAGACTCGACTTTCATTGATGTGGATGGTGTTGGCTTCGTTGACAGTAGCATGACATGTCCCATCACGTTCGATGAAAATCATTTCACCTCAGCGGACAATCAAGTACGTGTAAAATCAAACTATTTATTTAAAATGTCAAATAGTAATGTTGTAGCATCTTACAGCTTTACACACATGATTGTTTTCTTTTTTTGTTTTGATTTGATTTCTTCTTTGGTTTGACGTTCAAATGTAGGTTTACACTCTTTTACAATCGTACACTTTTTTGCTGTAAGACTCCAATTAGTATCCTTCAGTTCCTTTAAAATTCTGGAAATATGAGGGAAAAACCAGTGCTTCTACGCGTAATAAAATCTGTTTCTTAGTCTTCAAAAGTAGAACAGTAGTTTTTTATTGTATTCCTATAGTCTCATCAAAATAGACACAATTATTTATTAATGCTTAATTTTTCGGCTGTGACAAAGTAGATACTCGCTAATTTATTAAGAAAATCTAAGAAGTACAGAGCCAGTCCACAAAACAAGAAAATCTACCCTTCGAACTTTGCACTTTTCCTTGGCACGTACGAATAATATATACAGCTGCGAAGACACGAAAGTTTTGCATGAAATTCCTCCTTCGTTCACCACAAGAATGATGACCTCAGAGAGTGTGAAACTCGATACGCTCGAGAGAAGAAGTTTTTTCCACAAAAAAAGCCCGATAATTTACGGCGAAAGTTCGAAAGCCTTGATTCTCGGCTGTGGTTGAAACAATCGTCCAAAATTCGTGGGAAATTGTATTTTCAAAAGAGATAATATTTAATCCACTCGTGTTTTTTAGAAAATTGCTTTGGCCCCTTGGTTTTATCACAACAAATTTTGAAAAATCACAAATGAAAAAAGCAATGACCTGTTGGTGCCACGCCTCAATTAACTCTATCGTCCCACAGAAAGGAAAACAAAGAGCTCCGCTGGTGTCTATTGTTTCCTTTACTCGCGAGAGCCCCGAGAGTTATATCCTCCGCGTCGAGCTCTTGAATAATTCAGCCTCTCCCACTTAGTTCTCCTTTTTCCTTCGCACCACATTTTATGATTCATTACTCAGCCCATCATAAATATTTAATGAAACGCGTATATACGTTTGCATCTCTTTGAGCTTATCTCTGCAGTCCATCAAATGCATCTAACTCTTCCTTACAAGAAAACGCTGTAGTTTTGAAATAAAAAAATTTTGTGCCGTTGATTGCAGGTATCCTTCGAGGACGAGACGTCCGGGGCGAGAAACGGCATGCCCATGAAGCCCCTAAACAATAAGTCACCGACCCCGAGCCCCTCATTGGCCACCAGCACCACCAGCATCAATGACTCGACATCAACAGCAGCGGAACAGACGCAACTGATCGCGAGCACCTGGACCGAGTCCGAGACGTCCCGGAAACTCGACCTCGTCTGCTCGTCGTAGCGCTTCCGGGACGTGCCGCTCATCACGGGCCTGTGGCAGCAGTTGTCCTCCAACTCGCCCTCCTCTGCTGGCAAGGACCAACACCGACAACTGCCACCTGCATAGTTGAATATTTGCATATTTAGAACCGTATATGAAATCCAGTTCTGAGCTGAACATCCGATGTTTGTGATCTTGAAGCTCCAAAAATAAGTGAGACACTATTTGAAGAAATTTTTGGAAGTGTGTATTATCTTTGTGAAGTAAATTGACTCCTAAAAATTGTTGATTCGTGTAAAGAAGAACAGGACGAGGTGAGCACTAGTCGAATAATTGTGAGAAGTGCAAAAAAAAAAATGGTTATACGTAATGTTATGTAAAATATTAAATTGAAAAGTGTAATTGATTTCTCTGAAAGACTGAACGAATCTCCTCCACTGATGAATTTACACCTTATTTATCGTTATGAAACTGTTAGATAGGTAAAAAATATGTATATTAATGTAACGATCTTTTACAGAAATAAGTATCGGGTGTGTATTATTGCAATATAGATCTGCGTGAAGATTTCCGTCCGTAAATGTTTACAACGTTGATCTCTTTTACGAGTCAAACTATAGGTGCCATGGAAATCTGAAATGTAAACCGTGTAGCCAATGCATCACATTCAAAAATAGAGTAGGTACGATGGAATTGTCCTTTATAGGTAATTTGAAGTGATGCATGTGTATACAAAACTAAGAATTTTTTAAACGACATTTTTTACCGTGAAAATGTGTTCATTTTTTTTCCACGATAGATCTTTTGGACGCGATTTTCAGATATCATATGTGTTTCTAGCGATGAGTTATGCACTTGTGCACTGTCAAGCTCGTAACGATAAATGTAGTGTCTATTGTGATAAATGTAGTGAAATTTTATTACTATCTGTAAGTGTTTTTGTACTAAAGTTTATGAAAGATTTTATTGAACAAACTATACATGCACTATATGTAGGTATACACGTCACTGTGTCGATAGACATATTATTGCTCGATCAAAAGTACCGAAAATCAAAATCTTGTAATAAAAAACTTTCCTGCCGTAACTTATGAATATAGCAATAATTAAAATGCATGTAATCACGGATAAATAAAAAAATAGAGACGAGAAATGATATGGAGTATGAAATCACTCTCATGACTGTAGGATTTTTTGTACAAACTTTTCAAATCAAACGCTTAATTGAACCAATAAACTCAACTGAACCAATGAACGTTGGTGGTATAGTACTATTTACTATTATTACGACTTTTAAATTCACAAATTTATCAAAAAAAAAAAAATTTTACTTTAAATTGTCATTGTTGATATCAAAATTTACCAATGCGTACATATGTATTAATGAACAAGTTAAAAAACTAATTTAATATTTCATATATAGTATTTGTACCATATTACATTACTTTTTTAAATTTGACTCTTTGGTTGTTGTAAATTTAGCTACTTAACCGATAAAATGTACACATCATTCATGGTATAAACAAATTCGAATACACAAAATTTACAACTAAACTTGTGACATCCAATTAGTATACACGTATACGTAAACATCGTTATTGTTGTTATAAAATATATTGATGGAGTTTAAACTACAATCACACACATGTCTCAGGTTTTAAACATAGTTGACGTATATTATCGTATACATGCCTCCTGATCACTAACTGCAAATCGATATCACATAAAAACACGAGTTTTCATTCACGTTGCAAGCAAAAGCTCTCAAACCAGTCCCAATTCCGAAAGCACAGTTTATTTTTTCCCAAACCCGCTTATAATAGTTAAAAATGTTTCAATTCTCATCTCCAGATTGTACGAGTATGTTTCGTCCACGATCGACCGATTGTCCGACAAAACGAGCACTATACCTTCGGCGAGCAGATTCCCAAGCCACACGCGCGGCGACAAAAAAAACACCCGTAAAGCTCTCGCGAGCTTCCAGGGCCCCCCGCCCTCGTAAAAGCATTCCACCCACGCGAGCGGTGTATACACCATATTCTCCGAAACGGAAAACAAGTAAAAAGAAAAAAAAAAAAAGCTCTCTCGCGTCGCCGAGGCGTCGTCGAGTTGGTCGAAAGAAGGGAGCCGGAGAGAGAAAAGAATGGAAGAAGCGGAGGAGCGAGCGACTTCCCCGGCCAGTCGCTTGGAGACGGGATTTCAAAACGGCCACAGCCGCGCCGCACGTTTTTTCATCTTTATACCGCGCACATTTTGGGTATAAAACAATGCAGCCAAAGGATCGAACAGCGACGTAGACAAGCTTTACCTACATCAATTACAAACTCCGACGTTCTGTGTACAGAGTGACTTTGGCGAAAAGTGCCTTTTTTTTTTTTTTTTTTTTAACGTTACGTGACGTTTTTCCCGAGCAGATGAACAAACCAGTTGGTGCACCGAATGACGGAAGGTAAGCTCTTGTGTGATTTATATTTCGTTCGAGGAAAAAAGGAAAAAATCGGTTGGCTTCAAAATACAATCGTAAAATGTATAAAGGAACCGCTCAAAGTGTCAAAAAGCTGCTTCTTCCGCATCTCCATTTAAGTAATTGTCTTTCCGCGAAATATATAATAGCCAAGTGTGCTGATGCATAACGCATGACAATAAAGTGCTGGCTGACAAAACGATGAACCAACAGATCGTTAACTTTTACCACTGATCTTATTCGGCAAGGCGTCCAAGCGTATATATATATACACTAACCGTCCAGTGCTCTGTTGGTTAAACGCACTATTTGCTACGAGAATAATACCACCGATTGTATAGGTAAATTGTCTAGTTACATATCAAGTACAACCACGTGNGGGGGGGGGAAGAGGGAGGACGTTGCCGTTCAAAATCTATAAATATATCATAGGCGTTTGCTTTGATGCTTATTTTCTCTCTCTCCGTCTCTTTGACTCGCGACGTCGCCTTGATTTGTTTTTTCTCCAAGCGCGCGTATTTGGCGCTTCCACGGAAGGTTAAAGTCAATCGGCAAAAGCCCCGATGGGTTTCCGGGAGGCGCTCACGCGTGTTTAACGAGAAAAATGTCCAATTGGCTCTTCTTTTTTTTTTTTTTTTTTTTTCCTCCCCGATACTTTTAATCAGAGCGCGGTGTGTTGGATCTCGGAAAAAACGATTCACGCGCATTTTCGTCGGAAAGTAATACCGATTTCCTTAAACCAAATTCACTTGATGCGGGGAAAAAAGTACATAGACACGTAGTCGCTCGATTTTTCATAACGGTAGTTTCAGCGAATACGAAACAATAGCATCCGAGTCCGGAGCTGAATTTAGACGAAGAGCGAGAAAACCTGTCAAGCGCTCCCTCTCGTGCATACTTATACGTATTGTAAAACTGTCAGTGCACAAGGCCTTCCTTTCATTCGACATCAACCACCAACCCCTTGACCCACTTTTTCTTTTTTTTTTTTTTATTGTAATACTTGTATATACACTCATGGACATATATAACGCGTGTGTAGCGTGGCGTTATTTTCAGAATGAACAATAATGTTCCCGAAACTGTGGCTACTACTGGCGATACTCCATTGCACGTCGAGCTCGACCAATCTACCGAAAACGGTCATAGGTAAGAACCGATTTTTACCGATCGCTACGGATACACATATGCGTACACGTGTACGTTGAACCATTGCAGGTGGCATTTTTGACCAAGATGCCTTTATGCGCAAGGCTTTCTCGCTGGCCGTTCGCACGATGAACGAGTGCACCTACAACCGAACCATTTGCGATCTCATGCACGCCTGCGACGACAACGTCCACTGCAACGTCTTCCACCTCGTCGAGTTTGCCGCCTTGGTCCTCGAGGCTGACGACGACTTGCTCAACGTGTACAACAAAGGTGATTCCGAAAGAAATAATCAAGTACATATACTTGCGAGCTTGTGGATTGAAAATATATACAAATGGCAAAACTGCGTACCCTTTGATCCCGTAGTTGGCGAACTGGCCGGTCACAACTCGCGGGAGATCGTTAACAACGACTACGGGCTCGCGGCGATAGTCGGGCCGCACAACGAGCTCAGCGCCCGGTACATCCAGGGCCTCTGCGAGATCCACGATCTCCCGCACATCGTCGTCAGGCGGGAGGTGGATCACGACAGGCAGAGGTCGATCAATATCTACCCTGACTTGGATACGCTGGCTACTGTGAGGTTTTTTGTTTTTTTTTTTTTTTTTTCCTACGATTTGTAATTTTTAACAAAAAAACAACTGTCCACAGGTGTACGTCAAGATGATCGAAAAGCTGAACTGGACGTCGTTTTCGATACTTTACGAGAGAACCGAGCACTTCTTGGCCCTGGACAAGGTGCTCAAAATGTACGGCCCGTTCGCCCACTCGGTTTACGCGTTTCGTCTTGGCAGCGGACCCAACTACAGGTGAGGGAGAACAAATTTTTCAACCGCCCCCCCGTTATAGTATATATATATAAGGTGATGGTGTTGACGTGAGATTAACGCTTTAGCCAGCCCCTCCTGTTGGCGAAGGAAAAGAACCACAAGTGCTTGATCATCGACTGTTCGTACGAGCGCCTCACGGACATCTTGAAACAGACTCAGGAGGTGGGCATGATGACCGGCTCGTACAAGTACATAATCACGTCATTGGTGAGCATATTGCATATACTTTTGACAGCGATGACAAAATAACTATTTCATCCTTCCCCTCCAGGACCTGCAGACCATCGACTTGCGCCCGTACCAGTACTCGGGGGTCAACATAAGCGGCATTCGGCTGATAGACCTGGACAACCCGTTCGTGAGCAGTTTCGTGGATCAGCATCTCGACGAGCTCGACATACCTAGCGGCGACAAACTCCGCACCGAGGAGGCTCTCATGTTCGACGCGATAGCCCTGTTTGCCCAATCGTACAAGGAACTGAGCTACGGCTACGACATGAGCGGCGCCCGGTTGTCCGACAAGTACGACCCTACGGCCACCTGGGACAACGGGCTCAGCTTGCGCAACTACATACTGTATGTGAGTATATACCCCTCTCTCTGATGCGTAAGTATAGTTAGTTATTATTGGTGATGGGTACGATGATGAAAAGAACTCGATGAACGGACTGACGGGGCCGGTGATGGTGGACAGCGACGGGTGCCGCAGGCGTTTCAAGCTCGACATCCTGAACCTGCACCGGAGCGGTTTGACCAAGGTCGGGGTTTGGAATCCGGACGACGGGTTCGACGAGCTGCGCCTCATGAACGAGATCAAGCTCAAGCACTTCAACGTCCTCATAACGATGAACCCGCCCTACGCCATGCGGGTCAATTACTCAAAGAGCCTCGAGGGTAACGACAGGTACGAGGGCTTCGTCGTCGACATAATCAAGGAGCTCAGCAGGATGCTCAGGTTCAACTACACCTTTCACGTCCAGGAGGACTCGATAAACGGCATGTGCACCAAGAACAACGGCAAGTGCGCCTGCGACGGCATGATGGGCAAAATACTCAGCAAGGTATACAATAAACGTAAAACACCATTCAGATATGTGGTTGTGGTGGCGGGTGGTTTAAATTTTTGGCTTGCAGGAAATGGACATGGCGATCACGGATCTGACCATCACCGAGGAGCGCGAGCTGTGCGTCGACTTTTCGACGGCCTTCTGGAACTTGGGCATGAGCATTCTGTACAAAAAGCCAATGAAGGCGCCGCCCTCGCTCTTCTCCTTCCTCTCTACCTTCAACCGGGAGGTGTGGATCTACCTGGGGGTGATCTACGTCCTCGTGTCGTTGTTGTTCTTTGTCCTTGGCCGTTTGTGCCCGGCCGAGTGGAACAACCCGTTGCCGTGTATAGACGAGCCGCGCGAGCTGCACAACCAATTCACGATTTGCAACTCCTTCTGGTTCACCATCGGCTCGATAATGCAGCAGGGCTCGGAGATAGCGCCGATCGGCCGGTCGACGCGCACCTTGGCCGGCTGCTGGTGGTTCTATTGTTTGATCATCGTGTCGACGTACACGGCCAATCTGGCGGCGTTTCTGACGATCGAGAGCCCCGTGAGGGAGGTGCGTGGCATCGAGGACCTGTACAATCAGACAAAGATCAAGTTCGGGGCGAAAAAGGACGGCTCGACTTACCAATACTTCGAGAGCTCCAAAAATCCGAAGCACAAGCAGCTCGCCGAGCAGATGAAGGCCAAGGAGTGGGAAAGGTACATGGTGACCAACAACGAGGACGCCTTCAAGCTCGTGCGCGACGAGAAGTACGCCTTTATCATGGAGTCGTCGTCCATCGAGTACATACAGTACCGGCAGTGCGACCTGGAACAAGCTGGACCGCTCATAGATCAGAAATCATACGCCATTGCTTACGCCGAGGGTGAGTGTTTTTTTTGTTTTTGTTTTTTTTTTTTTTTGTTTCTCTCTTCCTTTCATCCCAGTAGATGAAGTGGGAAAAATATTGGGTGCAGGCTTCGAGTACCACCAACAAATCAGCATGGCCATATCCTCGCTGCAGGAGAAGCTCGTCATTAAGAATCTGTACAACAAGTGGTGGAAGGAGAAGGGCGTGTGCTTCGACTCTACGTCCAATACTCCCGATCCCATGAATCTGGAGCAGTTGGCCGGGGTTTTTCTCGTTCTCGGGGTCGGGGTTTGTCTCTCGCTCGTGTTGACCATCTACGAGTTCTTCGAGGGAGTCAAGACCGTGTCCAAGAAAGAAAACGTAAGCCAACAATTTTTAGTTGTGATGCACGAGCAATTGAGTGAAATTGTTTTCAGATCGAATTCATGGAGAGACTGTCGTCGGAGGCCAAGTTCATAACAACGACCAAGGCGGTCAAGCCGGTGCTAAAGAGGAACAAGTCGTTGGATTCCAATGCATCTGATTACTCGTGCAATTATACGCTCACGACGCAAGCCTGACGGTGTGTAGTCGATCTGTTTGAACATGTTGAAATTCAGATTATTGATTTTTGTACTGTTTGTTAATAAAAATTTTCTTATCTATTTACTTCTTGGCAGGAGTTTTTCGTGAACTTGAATATGGGAAATGCAAATGTAAAAAAAGGCTGCAAAATGAGACGCATAAAGTGTTAAAAATTTTTTTTTTTTTATTTCAATTTTCATTTGTTTTTTATCTTACACCTAGTAATAAATAATTGACCATTCAAAAACACGTGCTTTTTTTTATATTAATATAATTTCATATAGTCCTTTATCAAAAAAAATAAATCAATATTAACGAGATTATGGTAAACGTAATATTTAAAATCCTCGTGCACGTGGAAAAATATTTGGATTTTTCAACATTTCTAATACTATGTATATACTCACTCACATCCATCCATCCATCGTCTTTTGAGTGAAATACATACACGCGCACGTACCTATAGACGCACATTAAACATGCTTTCGTTTTATACATCATAAATCATAAAATCAACCAATAACATAGTTGCCTGTGGGAATGGACGTATCCCTGCATCATGTAGATGTATGTACATGTACGTATTCTTCCCCATTCGCCATGTGGACAAAAGAGGAAGAGCAAACAAACTTCGAAACTCTAAGCATTTACGAGAGCCAAACAAAAGCATAGGATGGCTTTGTGTATTTTTGTTTGAGGATTTGTTTTTTTTTTGTTGCTATTTCACTTACACTCTTTCAATTGTACCGATAACTGCGATTGATAATGTAAATATATGATTTATGATTACTGAATTATGATTTCAAACCATAAAGTAACAAAATAAATTAGGAATAAAAAAAATAATTTCGCCTAATACTTTCATAATGCTAAGTAACTAATGGAAGATTGCACAAAAAAATACAACAAATGACTGAAAAGTGAATAAAAATTCCACCTTTCTATTTTAAAATGTAACTTGCACTTATAATACATATATAATACGCACAACCATTCCTATGTACAAAAAAACTAAATGATTAATCGTACAAAAAATATTCTTGTATGATTTTTCATAATATTCCTTAATGTTTTTCATTCAACCTGGACAATAAAAATCTCAAGTCAGATTGTTCTCAACATTCCAGCCGTCGAGATCATCACCCCAGCCATCCTCCGTGTCGTCCGCTTTTGGTGCCAAGTCAGCGTGAAAGTTGAACGTTGTGTCGATGTGTAAAACCTTAGCTTTCTGTATCACAGGTTCCATGTCTGAGAAAAAGTCAATCTCTTCGACATTCACAACCGATGGGGAAACTTTAATATCCAGTTCTGAAATGTCGGAGATAGGCTTCTTACGCGGATAGTTTTTCGATTTTGATATAGACAATGACGTATTTTTCAGCTCCTCCTCGACAATTCTTGTTTCTTTTAAACTATCTCCTGTAACACTGTCTTCCACGCTCGCTTCATGAGAATCCCAATCGGACCAATTTTCCTCCTCTGCAAAAGTAAAAGTGGCTTCTTCCTTGTCCTCTCCTCCATCTGGTGAAGGTCTCTCGGGTAAACACTCACACTCGGATGTTATGTTAATATTATTTGGTTCTATACTTTCCATCTCCGAGGGAGTGCTGAAAGTTACACGAAGATTCTTTTTGCTTCTCCGAGACTTTGGTCGACCGTCAGTAAAAAGTTTACCCCTATTACCACCTATGACTGCGGCTCCTCCAAGGATTGGGACTATATTTGCTAGAGCATGTAACGTCATGCTCACCAAGTAATCATTGGTGTCTTTGATACCTACCAAAAGCTCAGGAAGCACACGGTGCTTAAGATCTTTCACTTGAAATGCTTTAACAAACGAGCTCAGGTGCGACAGCAGCAGTAATCTGATGGGTGTATCTCGGACACAAAACATTTGTAATAGTCTTGGTACTAGGTAAGCTTGGAAAGTCGCTAACGTCAGTAACTCGGGATCTTCATCTTTATCTGCAAATGTAAATAAATTGATTAAAATAGTGAATCAAAAAATACTTTTTGCATACACCTGAAAGTGCTTCATATCTGCCCTGCTCCAAAACAGATAATCAGCTCTTTCAAGGGTATGCAGAAAATTAATGTCCTAGATTTCACATTATCCGCCCTCGGCTTCGCCTCGGACATTTATTCACGTGAAATCTGCGACATTTTTAACCTCGTTCACTAGGTGCGTAATATACTAGTACCTTTTGGTTTTAAAATAAAAGGAAGAAGCTTCGTTTGAGCAGTTTCATCTAGTAGCACCATTCTAGAAAGCAGAAGTTTTCCTAGCTGCTCTGCTACTATCTTTTCAGGAAAGTTTTTTAGCTGTGGAACTAAATTTCTGTAACATACATTTATTGGTAAAAATAGCTAAGACTTGTAAATACTTACAAAAAAAAAAAATCTTCACTGTCACTTTTCAATTTCATTAAAAATGCATACTTACAAAAAAAAATGTTCTTTTTCACTGTCGTTTTTTAGAGGCAATTCCATTAAGAAAGAATGAATGTTCATGAAGTCATGCACAAAAAAGGGATGACTAGCCAGCGCAGAGAGACTGGTATCTTGGAATTTTTTTTTGCAAAGATCTTTGAACTCTGATAGACCTGGAACATCATCTAAAAAACCGAAATTCATGGATTAAAATGAAATGAAAAAACATGACAAAACAATAGCAATAAACCATTTAACAATCGTAATTTTTACCGTTATTTTTGAGTCCTAAAACTTCATCAGCCAGCACAGCAAAGGCATACTTGTCAATTACAACAAAATCAGAAGTATCTTGTATCCAAGTGTCCTCCATTGGAGATATGGCGTTCTTATAACGATAAGTCTTGATCTTTTTCAAGTAAGACTCTTTTAACTCTGAATGTTTGCAGAAACACTCCAAGCCTCCAAGTTTCCAAGAACCTTCTGTAGTTACATACACAGAGGTGCTACACACATTGTTGTGAGAGCCAGAGGCATTCTCATGCAGAAAAAGCAAAGCCTTCAAAATGTTGTTCAGACCAATACATATCTCCAGGGTAGTTTGAGATCTTATGACATGCTCCAATGGCTTGACTTCCTCACTAACAAAATAAAACATACTGCCCTTGGACCAAGAAGACACAAACTTTAATATGCACGGGTGACGATGGAGCATTAAGTTCTGAAAAAACAGAACCAACAACAATATACACTAACCTTATTTAAAACGAATAATCATTACGTGGCACACCAAACGGTATGTATTATACCGGCCGTATGAAAAAAAAAAAAAAAAGTTCAACAATTGTTAAAAAAAAAGAGCAGATTCTCACTTTAGCATTTTTTTCCAAGGGTGTGGGCCTTCCAAAGCTGGGATCAGAGTGTAAAGAGGGTTCGCTAATGAAAATGGACAAACATTGAGGGTTAGTATTCTGACCTCCAATACTGGCGTTATGAAGCGACCAAGAATCGGTTATCTCCACGGCCTTGCCAATTTCGAGGCCCTTGAGGGCACTCGAGTCATTACCCATGTTGTCGTTATCGTCGTTTTAAAAAGTGAATAGGTAAGTCACGAACTCCCGCAAAAGGTCGACCCGAAAAAACTGCAGATTTGTAAAAATCGATCGGCTCAGCTGACGCTGACGTCGCTGATGACAATATAACATAAATAACATTCTCGTATCTGCTCCAGAGGGCGTAGCCTCTGCATCAACTCTGAGAGCAAAGTTTAAAATAAATTTATAAAGCAAATTTTTTTTGTATGGTCCATGCTAATTAGCATCCCAAAAGCCCCATGTTTTGGTGCCTGCCTGGCATCGGATCCGCTAATCCCTACCCATAGCCCTGACACTATTTCGTATTCACCCCCAGGCCCAAAAACCTGTAGGACGAGAAAAAAATCCTGAAATCTCTCAGAAGGAGGAAAATTCCAGGTAAACTCATAAAAATTTTATTAAATTATTTATTAATGTTGCTGGTCTTAATACACGTTTATTTTATTTTTTGAAAATGTGAGTATTTCCTGAGCTAAAAAGTAAAGTAGTTATTCTGTACATTAATCTGTATTATAAAAAAATAAATACATGTACATTACTTTGTTACGTATAAGCATACTCAAATTTTCAATTAGCACATAGATTGTTGGATGGAAAAAATTCGACGAAAATTAATACAAATTTTTAAAAAAATAATCATTGCGTAAGTGACAAAAAAATATGCATATAAACTTTTAATCACAACAATCAATGCAGTTCATTGTACAAAAAAAGTTTTATTAATACATGCTTGCAAGCCGCAAGATGTTTAACATTTCATGATTAATCAAGTTTGAATGTTACTCAATTTGCGCGTCAACAAATGAATTTTCAGTCGGGCCAACACTCAAAGTTCGCATTACGCGACTGTGATCCCGGCAGTTTGTAAATAACTCCTGAGATGCATTGCATTTGGAGTTGGAATTTGGCCAAGCAAACTGGGTATTTGACCTGGCTCCATCCTACCGAGTCCTGCGGCCAGATGCAAGCGCACATCCGTGATTGCTATGATCAAACAAATATAGGTTTTCATAAATGCACTCAAAACATTTTAATGACCATCATTGTAATGTAGTGTAAACGTACCCGGTAATGGATCTGGTTTAGGATTTTTGGCAAAAATTAATTGACTGTAAGCTGTTTGATATCCAACTGATGCATCTTCAAATTCTAAAAATTGATCGTCTTCTACCAACTGAGTTTGATCCTGTGGCAATTCGAAGAATTCGATTAGGCTAGCTAAAAGACGAGGATACCATATGTTGTACGGACTCTGCAGCATAGCGGGACACTCGACCAAGATGTTCGAAAGGCCCACTGCTGTTATCTTTTTTTCAAATTCACCAGACACTTTTTGCAAATCGGCAATAAAAACTTTTTCTATCACCATTCCAAACATACTGAATTATAAAAATAAGAAAAAGAAAAAAAAACATTAATGTAAATATTGTAGCCTGTAAAATTATTTTAATCACACCGATTTATAAAAACTTATACTCACTTGGCTTGAATGGAATCTATTAAATTCACAAGATTCGTCGCTCCGTATCGAATAACATAGAAATTGAAAAATACAATGAGGCTCTTTACGAATTTCGTTGTTTTGCTGAATGAAAGCCTTTGGAAGAGTAATGTGAAGATCTGCTTCATGTAAGGCTCCATAACATTTCTAAATGCAAAGTAAGCGAATGAGTGCACCAAAATGTAATTTTCCGCCCTCGGGTGGTTTTGGGAGGCTGGTACTTCCTCGGGCGAAAAAGCAGTTTTCCGGAACTCGTTCGAAAAGTCTCCTTTACGAACCTCGTTACGTCCCTCGCCTTCGGCTCGGGCCGCAAACCTCTCGGTTCGCAAACAGAGACTTTTCAAACTCGTAGGAAAACTACCATTATTTATAAAAAAAAAAAATTTACAAACTTACGGTGGGAAGTGCTCAATGATGGCTTGAAGCAAATTGAAGCCCTCGTGATCGTTTGCTTTGGAAGCTATGAGTTTTTGGAAAGCTCCTAGCAATCCACTAACTTTGTCTAAAGCTATAATCTGTTCTACTCCTTTGCTAACCATTGCTTGCAATAATCGGCTTAGCGGAGGAATATTGCCAGACTTTTCAAATAGAATCGGCTCTAATAAACAAGGAAATAGTGTTATGTACGAATCGGATAGGCCAGATCCTGCTTGCAACTCCAAAAGCAAAGCAAAAATTTGGAAAACATATGGATAGAATTCTGAAATGAAGGTTATTTAGTAAATTATAAATAAATAATCCAATGGTAAATGCATGAACATTGAACTAACCATATACTTCTTGTTGCAAAATAATTTCAAACGTAGGCAATAACACTACTTCGAAAGATGTGGTAGCGCTTGGATTTGTTTTGCAAACGATCCTAAAAGGTTAATTTCATAAACTATAAACTTGCCTACGAAGAAATAGAAATATATATAAATATTTACTAACTTTATTGATATGCCGATCGTTTCAAAAAGATAGTGATTGAAATGAGGACGACTAGGATTCTTGGCAACAAGGCTGAGTTTTGCTGTTAATTTGACGAGTAAGTTCTCCAAGTAAGGCACGACAGCTTCTTGTAATGTAACAAAACTTCTCATTACGGCTTTCATGATGTACTCATTTTCCTCGGCTCCCGGATGGTCAAAAGCTGTAAACAACTGCGTCAGTAGTTCACCAGCCAATGGTGAAATGTCTTGTGCACTCATTCTGTAAGATTAAATATTTTACTACATTGCTTACAAAACTAAACTGTTGAATAAAATGAAATACCAACACCGCTGTATTATTTGGTCCTTTAAGAGCAAGTATCTTTTCAATGGCGCAAGCAGCATAACTGTGTACCACAGAACTTGAAGCAGACAAGTGCCTTATCATTTGTGGTAAACTTCCAACGACTTGTTCCCGTGGCAAAATCGATCTGAATACCATTATAAATTTAATGGAATCGGCTTTCAGAACTGGCAACTCGTTAACTAAAATCGTAAGCATTGATGTCATAAAAATTTTTCAGTTAGGTGAAAAATGCAGCACTGATCCAACGATTCTTACCATTAGATTTTGCCAACTCCGGTAAAATGTGTTGCTCGGCAAACTGAGGAAGTGGCACCAAATCGCTACTCTGCGTTACACCGTGCTTTTGCGTTTGTCCTTTGCTGGCGCTGCTTGTGATTAAATATATGGCTGCATCTTTGCTGCGCCAATTTTCTTCCGGTTTTAAGGCATAATTTTGTAGCATGGCCTTTAAAAAATATTGTTCTTGAATTTACGAGAAAAATAGTAAAAAAAAAAAAAATTTTGATTTTGGTAATTTAAATCACCAACTTGTATGTAAGAACAGAAAATCTCCATAATCTTGGCTTCAAAGTACTTTGATAGTGTTCTCACGAGATCACAAGCAGCTCGTCGACGCGTGTCAACGTCGCTACCCTCGATATCTCTTCGTATGTATTCTTCAGGATTATCTTCAAACAATTCGTTGTCAGACTCTCGGAACTCCATATTGGGAATAATAACTTTTTCGCAAATGCTACTAAGAACTGCTGGATCTTGAAAAAGATGCTGATGAGCCGCGCGATCGGCAACTGTTGATAAAAATTGTAAAGCATTTGACACTAACTGCAAACAAATCAAATAAACGTAATTATTATTTGTTCTATACTTATTGAATTAATACTCATAAGTTCCGAAATTTTTAATACCATGTCATATTTTGGTTGTTGACCTGTAGAAGTAAGTAAATTCCATACTGCTGTAACGAAATCTTGCAAATACGGCTGGAACTCTTCATCATATTTTTGAGCATACAAGCATAAATTTTCACAAACTTGAGATTTCAGTTGTTCGATAACGCCAGCTTCATCATCACCCTGAGTTCAATAAAAACAATGCATCATAAAGTACTTTGTAACATAATTCAAATTGATCTTAAATATGCAATATTTACATCAGTTTGTAGAGCTGGAACACTAGTACCTAAAAGAATTTTGAAATTTGGCATCCAGGAGGACATGTTATCTTCAAAAAATTCCGGTAAATCCTACAATTATTAAATAATGTCAACAAAATTTTCATTACGTTTCTATGTGTAATATGTACCTGAGAGTTGAGTGAATAAAATATTTTGCTTAAAATAACTAGAGAACTATAAACGACTTTTAAAACTTCTGCGTTATTGGCGTGTGTTTGAGCAAGATTCATAGTTGCCTGAAATGGAAAAAAAAAGAGTAAAAAATGATGGTAGTAAAATTAGAAAAGCTTTATCATACAGTAATCTATATTTTTTTTTAAATCTTACCAAAAAAAGATCAGTTACTGGTTTTGCAAACTTCTCAAGCACATACTTAATCTCTAGCCACAAGGTTTGACTCTTAAATTCATATCTGTACTTTTTGAATAGAGAATGAGCTGTGTGTAAGACACCATTGATAACATGAAAATCTCCAGTGTTGAATTTTTCGACCATTTGGTCGATAAGTTCTGGCCAAAGATTAGGAAAATCGTGTTTTCCAATAACTGAGACTGCATCAGACAGTTGTTTTTGTATCGATTCAGGTGAGCGCAACATCAAATCGACAATGAGTCTCTTGATATTTTCACGGTCTTCTTTATGTATAATGTCCCTTCCATCCTCATCCTAGAAATACATTACAAAATATAATTCACATTCTAAAAACGTCAATTGAATATTTTGTAGAAAAGATTAAAAACCTCATTATGTTCAAGTATGCAAAGTATGTATAATAAAATATATTTGTTTGTCCAATACTCACAACTTTCCAGTTCCTTTTGATATAATTTTTGAATGTTATAGCTCCAGCTACACGAATAGTTAAATCAATGTCTGCCTTGTCTACCAAATGGAGGAGAAGCAGAGGATACTGTTGATTTACTTCTATTTGCTCCAGAGCTTTTTCCGCTACAAACCACAAATTAACGTTTTAGAAATATTCTAGAACTAAAATTGAAGGTCTGAATGCAACAAGTGCCTCGACACACTTTATCATTAATTTCCTCCTTGAATTATTAATTTTTTTTCATTTTCTAAAGCACAACTTGAAGCTCGTATTTTATTAAAAACGATTTAGCAATTACAGAAAAATTAAGAGTTATAGTTATTTAACAACGAGATAAGTTCTGAGGCACTTACTACTGGACCTTTAATTGGTAAAGTATGCAAAACAATGCAATATAAATCATAAAATTATATTTACTCTAGACACTTTGATAAAACAATAAGATCAAAAAGATTGACAATCATTACTCTAACATTGTTAGGATATATTTGTAAATTATTTATAAGCACAAAAAAAGGTAACTCACCAGGACGCCGAACGTTTACGTCGGGACTAAGTGTCTGGAGCAAGTAATTGCTCAAATTGAGCAGATTCGCATCATTGAGCTCCATTAGAACGAACAATCAAGTTCAGATCGGCAATTAAATTACAAAAAACAAACTCAATTACTTTGAATACTGGAAAAAACCGTACACATAACACATCAATGCAACCGCCGGTTCACCTCTATTTTTTTCTCTCGAGATTCAACTTCCTAACCTCTCCCGCGCGCACAGAGAGATTCAGAAGTTTTCGCATTCGCGAATATAGGTGGTACTACTAGTGCTAGTGTTGTGAAAAGGAGGGAAATACAAAAAAATTTTTAATGTAGCATTTATATTTTGTGTATACACTTAGTATTTTCAAGTAGATTATCAACAAAATAAACGTTATCTTACATTTTTGTGTGCATAAACAAACAATTATATACATTAACAATAAACTAAGTTTATTAACTCAATTTGTATACAAAAATGTATACTATTTGCATCTTGATTTTATTTCTCCATACTTTTCCAACTTCTTCTTTAGGTTTGGGATAGTGTCATTCTGTAATCTAGAAGTTATCTCTTCTAACTCGATTTCTGGACGTTTCATAGACGAATCTGATCTGAAGTAATAAAAAGCATGAGTATCTCATAATTACTTCTTAATATAATGTTTGGATGGTAAAAATATACATCTTACAATAAGTTTATAACGGTATCTATTCCTGTAACAAAACTTGTTTTGGACTTCTTTAATGATTCGTTCATCATTGCTTGCTTGTTAACTAGATCGCAAGTATTTTTTGATAATTCCGTTTCAATTTTTTTTGCTTCATTTTCCACAAAATTGATTGTATTCCTCAAAACATCAGAATTCTTATGGAAAAAAAAAAAATATTACGTCAAACGTCGAACAATAAGATTATAGTTATTCAATCAAACGTTTTTTTTTCACCTACGTAATCCTCATAAGCCTCGCAAAAGGACGAATTAACTTGCTCAAGCTTTTCTACGACAATTGTCCTAGAAGCATACAAAACTATTATCATGAACATTAGAAAATTAACAAACAATTGTAATTGATACCCACATCTTATCCTTGAGATACTCCATGTTTCTCTTTTGTATTTGCAGCAGTCTATGATGATGATTTTCTAACATTACGCATTTGGCGTTTTTCTGATCTTCATAACGTTGGCATAAATTGTTCAAATTTTCAACATCCAGCTTTGCAAAGTTATCTCTCGTGTGTAAATCGTAAAAATTATGTGAATGTTTCGACTCTTGGATTATTAGATTTTCAAACTTTTCCTTTAACAAATTCAAATACTTGAGTATTCATCATTAAATAAAAAAAAAACATTACATCTTACCATTAAAGTTGGAACACTGTTGACCTCATTTGAATCAACGCTGTGCACCGAAGTACTATCTTCCGCTGGAGGTTCGCTCATTTCTATTAATTGTTAAATAATTAGCACACGAACTCCTGAAATACAATATACTTGGTTTCATCGATTTCAAATTAAGTATTACCTTCGCGAAAACGGAAAACTCACTGAATTTTTAATATTTGTTTTGTTTTTATTGACGCCCACATAAAAAAGCGCGCACTTGTTCAAGTTTTAATCAACATATTCTTGAATCTCTTGATATTGGTACAGCTTAAGCATACAAGGTCAAATAATGTTATTAGAAACGAAAAATCAAAACATCTGTAAACGTAAACACTTGTAAACCTAATTGCAAAAAATTCACACCCACATCAATTTTACTCTAAAAATAAAAATACGACTAACCAATGTACTTATCTACCTATACATACCTTACAACGAGATTTGTTGTGTTCTGCCAGAAAATCTCTCGAAAAACTCCTTGATGCCGTCTCCGATCTCCAACGTAAAAAAAAAACGAAACAAAGTGTAGGAAAATGACTTTGTTAATTGATTTGAAGGGGCTTTGCTTGTGCTGCTGTTTCCCCTCCTCTTTCTCTCTCTCACGATCTCACGAACCCGCACACCGCACGAAACACCGGCGGGGCGCTCCGAACATCTCGTCCGAGCTTTCAGGTCGAGACCTGTTGATGCCGCTTATGCGCGAGGGTCGCTGCATTTTCATTTCAACAAGGACATCGGAACGAGTCAGTTGCAGATTTTTCTCTTGGATGAGCGAGTAAGTTACGACCCAGTCAGTAACTTCCAGTGTCTGCTGCCACTTTTTTTTTTATCTTCAGCTTCCATGTGCATCTTTCCTGTTAGAACTTGGTTTCTTTCAAAAATTGAAATTCCTTCTTCGTGCGTGTGTGCTAGTCGGGTCAACAGCATAAAAGAAATATAAAAGCTGGTAAGGAAATTTTTAATGATATGCCTTGCATGTTTACCACGCGTGTGTATGAAGAAAAAAAAAGTTTTTTGAGACAAATGAACAAAGCAAGTTCCACAAATAAAGGTGGGAATGCAAGAGCAAGTAATAGAGTACGAAAAAAAATTAACTCATCCGTGTTTGTTTTTGTCTCTACGATTTTTCTCTTCTGCATGACGGTGGTGATTCTGAGAACTGTGTCGCGTGTGTTCTCTCGTCCGCTCTTAGCCTCCCCATGATGAGTTTGTAATTTCCATTGTTTAGGCGAGATTGAATCTTTTGTAACGTAGTCGCCTATATTTCGTAAGAAGTTATAGCTTTTAGATTCGATTTATCCAGAAATCGTATAAATTGCGCCTGTTGTGAGTATCTGACCATTTCACATCAGTTAAGTACGTTTGCTTTTTTTAAAGCAATTAGTACTTTACACTGACGGTCTTATAAATTCTTGCACGTATAGCATATTTGTAGAGCCAAAACATTTTTGCATCATCCGTACTTTTTTGTCTGCTAAAATTGAATTAATCGTACAAAATTACAGCAAAATACGAGATGCCAAAAAACAAGAACAAACCAAACGCCTTCTTGGCCTTCATGATTGAATGGAAAAAAAACCAAGAACGTAAAGGGCGTACTTTCCCCAATGGACTCAAAGATATCCAAATGGACCCTGACTGCAACAAGGAGTGGCAAGTGGGTTACTTGTCAATTTGAAAGCTTATTGGTATTAATTCACACTAATTTTTATTTAAGGAATTGTCTGAGCACGATAAGGCGTACTACAAAGAACTTTGTAAAAAGGAGACCACACAGAAAACTAAAAAGAGAACTGGTATCGGAGAATTGGTGGAAGATATTAAAATAGCTGAACAGAAAGAAAAAGAATTCCATGACAATATGATAGAGTACATTTCTGATCTGATAAAAATGGCCAAGGTCAAAAATGGTAAAAATTACGATACTCTGAAAATTCTAATCGTGATCAAAACTCATTTGTTTGTGGTATCTTATAGCCGTACCGGATATAAAATTTTTTCTCATCCACGTCAACTACTTCTATTTTCGAGTAATAGACAACAACCAACTTGAATACTATCCAGCTGAAATAGCGATTGGGGAATTCACGCTGAGGGATGGTCTCTCACGAATTTACAATGTTATCATCAACGAAAAAATCATAATGGGCCATACTCAATCTGCCAAAGAGCAGAGCGAAAAGACCCACCAAATTCCAATTGAGCCGGAATTCGGGAAAGAAGATTATTGTCAAATTTTTCGCGAAATTTGCGAATTTCTCGAGCCTGCTAAAAAAAATGGAACGTATCCTCCATTGTATACAGTAAGCAAAATGGAAGACATTCATACTTGTGCAAAATCCGTACTCGCAAGGTTATCAGCTGCAAACAGTAAGTTTTAATTATTTTTAAAGACAATTCAATGTTTATGGATGGTTCCACAAAAAAAAATTATTTCAGATGAATCCGACCAATTCTTTAAATTGTACTCTTTTGAAGATTTTTTTACAATCCTGTACAACTCAATCGATGCAATGGTTATTTCGTGTCCCCTTGAACCCGTCACTGCATTGATTGAAATTAAAAAAGATCCCTATGGTTATAAACCAGATCTTTGTTGCACTGTAAGTTTTTGATGATTGAAGATTTTTTTAGTAATTTGCTAAACTCAGAACCAAATTATTGAACAAGTCTAACATAAAATTTATAGTTTTATTGTTATAGCATAATATAAGCTTTATATTATTTTAGTATCACGAATCCGTTCAAGTTGGGACGCTACATTGTAGTCATTCTATCATTCAGCGTTGGTTTTTCATATTGTGCAATTTTTGCTGTGAACCCTTAGGTATTGATATGATACAAGGAGTTCACTTACCTAAAGAACACATCTATCTTACAGAATCTTTAGCTGCGTTAAGTATTTGTAACAGAAGCAGAAGGTCAAGTTCCTTAATGTCATTATCTGAGGTAGATTTTTGCAAATTTCATGCAAGTGCTGTCAAATAAAAGAAAATAAGTATTGATACATATTTAATTTTGTTTATAGTCGAGTTACGATCACAAAAAGCATTCATCTGAAAGAACGTATGCTGAAGAACAGCGTCGCAGAGCTGAAGCTAGTTCAAGACCACTTTACATCGTTCAAAAAAGTCAAGTGAAACCACCTCCTGTTAAAAAGGTGTGTTAAATTATTGTTACATAAGACCATAGATAATTTTTCATCATTAACAAAACTTCACAACTAAAATAATTTTTAATAAAATCAATGTCTAGCTAGTGTCTTTTTTATATTTTTAACGGACTAATTTGATGCAGTTAGTTACCGTGTAACTTTTATAAGTACTGTTCTGAAATTACTAGTATCATGTATTAAAATATAATACATTTTTATTATTTTAGCCTCAGGAACCTGTTGTGCAAAGGCCCTTGCGACTTCCGCTAACCAAAAGTAAGATATTTTTTTACCCCTTCTAAATTTATTCTTTCGCTTGCTCAACCTTAATTTATTATTTTCAGGTGTTGGGTTGACTTTTGATAGCACTGATACAGAGAGTATGACAGATAGTTTATTCAGTGAGTGCAGTTTCCCATCTATTGGTACGTAATTGGATAATTCATTTTTTTTTTTTTTTTTTTTTTTTCTCTCCGAACTCCGATTCTACAGAGATTTTTTTAACCTTGTAGGAAGAGGTGCCATTAAAAAAAAAACTGAGCCAAAACGTAATGGTGCAGGCCATGGTAAGTTTAATTAAAATTGCGTTACATAGTGTATAAAAATTTATAAAATATTTTTTGTTCAATGCAGGTTACGCAGATGCTGTCAAATCATAGATCATTTTAGTTATTGATATTTTATTTCAATAATTTTTGTCTTTATCATAACATTCGAAGTAGAGAGATTTCATTGATAAGTCAATGACCACAATGTTCTAGAAATAAAAAATGTTTTTTTTTTTTTTTTTTCTTATCGAAGAGTAATCGATATGTAGTAAATAAAAACATTATCTAGTTAATTTAGATTACCAATATGAAAAAGAGTGAATGTAATACAATCATAGTACAAGTTGTGCTTAAAACTATTTTCTTTATTTAAACTTAAATAAAACACTTGTGATGTTTTACAAGTTTGAATTTTGAATGAAACCGTTATCCCCAAAGCCGGAAGTAAATAGGAAAACTCGAAAACAAACTGGTGTAGCTGCCACTGTACTCTAGTGTAGTGCTATGGCCAGCTCAGCAGTATCGGTGTGTTACCAAATTGTACATTATTCATCGTAACAATGATGTGGACTGGTCTGGTTAGGATCTAAACGCGCAATTTCGTTTTTCATTTAAGTTTTTACAACGTTGACGATTTAAACTTCAATCTTTTATTGCTCAAACGTTACAATTGTACATAGAATTTGGTAAAGTAGAAACAAATTGCGTGCGTTTTCAACTTATTGATACTACAGTGCGTAGGATTGTTCGATCTTGATAACAAAAGACCGGCTAATCGTCCATTTTTATTTTTGTGAGTATGTAATATTTTCGATTTTCATCATACTAGTTTTATTCACAGTTTAATTCAAAGAAGTAGAAAAAATTCCAAATCAAGAAATTTGAAATCAATTAGTGTTTTTCTTACTGACTTGCACACAACTGTTAAAAAAATTATCCCTCGTTATTTTTTCGTTTACGAAAATAAACATGACGTGTGTTACCTTTTCATAACTTCAGAACAAGCATTTACATTATCAGTGTTTCTAAGAAAACTCAAGTTATCGAGTTTTACGTAGTTTTAAAGAAATTTTCAAAAACTCATACTTTCACTGTACATAATTCAATAGTTGTTAAAGAACATCTTACTTTTCAACAAAGTACAATGGTCAACAAAAAGAACGGCTACTCCGTCTTTACAGCAGAATGGAAAAAGAACCAAGAAAAACAAGGTCGGAAATTTAACAGTGTGAAAGATGTATTTACTAACCCTGCCTGTGTTGCAGCATGGAAGGTGAGCTTTTATGTAATTTTAAATCTTTCATACCAAATTGGAACTGAAATTGAAAAAAAAAATTTTTAGGCTCTGTCAGATGCCCAAAAGGCTGAATACAAAACTATGGCTAAACAATCTGTTAATGACTGTATTAAAAAAACTTCAGTTGGTGAGTCAATTGAAGAAATCAAAAGAGCTGAGCAAGAAAGCCTTCGGTTGATGGACAACATGAAAGAATACATTAACACGACAGTAGAAGAATCAAACAAAAAGAAAAGTAAGATTTGATCATAATATATCACACTACAACGTAAATTGTTGAAATATAGTGTCCACTCAAAAACAAATATTTTTTATTGCAGCTTTGCCAGAACATAAGTTTTACGTCATCCAAGTAAATTACTTTTATTGTCGTCAGCTGGAAGACAATACTCTAGATTATTGCCCAGCCGAAATTGGAATAGCCGAATTTTCATTGCAACATGGCGTTGAAAGAGTTTACCACGAGATAATAACGCCAAAGATCAGAGTTGGGTACGCTTACGAAGCTAAGTCACGCAGCGCTTTGACTCACAATTTGCCGTCTATTGAGAACGATGGTTTTCCATCAAAGGAATTCAATGGACAGTTACTAGCGGATATTTGCAAATTCTTACAGCCTGGTCGGGAAAACGGCAGACTGCCTCCTCTGTACACTCGGTTTGCTGAAGAAGACTTGAAATTTCCCGTGGAAAATGTCATGGAGAAATTAACTAATGGTAACTATTAAATAGATACTTTTGAAGAAACGTGTTACATTTATTATGCAGCTGAATACAATAAGTAATTTAATCCACGTAGAATTCGGCAGTGAAAGATTTAGAATCTATTCACTGGAAGAACTTTTTGCGAGTCTGTACAACGTCAATAGACCCAGTGGTGCTGTTCTCATGAATTCAGTAATTGCTAACATGGAGTTGAAAAAAGATCCGTATGAGTACAAAAAGGGCACTGAGTGTAAGGTAAGTGTTAAATAGAAGATATCGTTTTTAGCATCATAACTACCGATCAAATTTATCCAGTTAGTGGTCCCGAAACATCTAATTGTTTTGCTAAATTAATTTGAGTGGTGTAACATTAACACATTGTAATTTTTCATCTAGTTCCATCAAGACATTGGGGCAGGAAAATACTGTAGCCAGTCCATGGCTCAGCGCTGGACTTTTGTTATATCAAATCACTGCTGTCCATCATTTGGGATTAAGATTGAGCCTAACTATTATACAGTAAACACAAATCAGGTTGACGGAATTAATTGTTTGAGCGCCAAGATGGGACACGTGGAAATAAACGAGAAAAAAAATTGTCCTGAATTTGCAACCGGCCCACCAACCGGGGTAAGTAAATGTTCATAGAAATCAAACAGTTATAATATTTTTTTCCCCGCTACATCGGAAAACGGTGCAATAAAAGTATGTATGTATGTATGTGTGTGTAGAAACTTTTAGTACGCCCATAGTCTCCCCTTGCTTCGAAAACAGTTCACAGTACACGTCATCCTTATACTATTGATTTTGAATGCTGACTAATAAGTTTGATATGATACAGTACAAACATTGTTGACACGTGCTTGCTTTCTATAGGGCCTTTGAACTTCCCCATCTAGTGTTTTCAACCACCAATTGAGTAATGTAATTATTGTGTAGTGAACAAAAATTTATGATTATTATCATATAATTATATTTATTTTAATCAAGGGATTACAAATATTTTGAAATGCTTCAGGCAATTAGAAAGTACACGAAAACTCGTGCGGAAAGATCCCAAAGTGAAGAGGAATATAGGAAATTCTACGCCGCATCCGAGCCTCCACTCCACATCGTTCAACACGGCAACGTAGAAGATGTACATAACGCCGAGTCAATTTTCCCCAGAGAATTCGTTGCAGCTGCGAGCAGGGAACCAGCCACTGCACCGCGAACTAGTTGTAAGCATTTGTAACAGATCTATTTAAAAAAAAAATTTTTTTAATTTTCTAAATTATTAATAATTTTAGTTTCAACTGCTTTTTCAAGTCCATCGACGGACTCGGATGATTCGTACCAAAATGATTTTCCTCCATTAAATATTGGTCAGTGTGAAGAAAGATTAATTTTTATAATTGTAGTAATATTTCACAAACTTTGCTGTCTGAGTTTGAATTTTGCACCGGAAGGTTTATAATTACTTGTTTTTTACAGGACGCGGAGGGAGAAGAACTTCTAATATGCCACCAAAACCTGTCAATTATGCTTCCAAACTAAAGAAGTAAAAAGATACAAGGTATAGTTATATTTACCTTTTGCACGTTTGTTTGTTCGGAAATTTTCAATCGCACATCGTTTATTGAACAATGTATCGAAATGTTAGTAGAACTCCATTACTAAATTTTTATATTGACGAAAATTAGGTGGTTCGTTTTTATATTTTATAAAACTACGTTTATACAAATTGTTTTAATTATACATATTTTAAATAATCGGATGAACTTATCAGCGTTTTTGATCTATTTAAAAAAGGTATAGTAGATATTTCTTTGTAGTCTTTTATACGCCAATAAATATTATCTTTATTACTATATTAATGATGTGACCCAAATTACTCGAAAAAAATTTTACATATAAATTTTGCATTCAATTGAAAAGAATTTCAGTAATTCTTGCTCAGAGATATATTTTGTGCCTTTCACCGAAAGATTTATATTAATTACTTACAAACAGTTTTGTATGTAATGTAATGAGAGTGTTGAACAAATGCGGCCTTAACTGCAAGTTTTTAATGTCAAGTAATTTATGTTGAGTGTACTATGTATTTTACAATTGTCTATGTTGTAAAACTTGACTTAATTGGGAAAAAAAAAAAAAAAAACCTGTCACAACCCAAAAATTTGACCATAATAAAGCTCGTTTAATTTTTAAAATAAGTGAAAGAATATAAATCGAACGAAAGTTAATTATCATAAACTGTATAGACACGTTATGGAATCCTTTGAATCATAAGGCCGCATTATTTGGTGCATTAAAACATTCATCATTTTCTTAGAAAAAATGAAATTTTTATTTTTTAGTTCCTATCTAGGTTTAATTAATTTTTTTCTTCTACATATTAAGTTTGTATTTCAATACACTATCGTAAATTAAATTACAACTTGCATCTGTCATATTGTAAATGCAAGATTAATGGTTATTGGCTGGTTATATGTACTTTACAATGGTATGTATCTAGAATGATTTAACTTGAATCATGACAGCAATAAAACTTGAACTTGCATAATTATTATACACATTAACAAGAAATACGTTGAAATTTATAATTTTTTGTTCCCGGTAAAACCAACTTCAAATTTTCGTAATGTACACTGACTGCGTTGAAAATGTGTCTTTGATCACTACCGCTAGTACAGAATTGAAAAACAGTTGATTAAAATTAAATTAGTTGTTATTACTCTTAAGCAAAAAAATTGTATACTACCAAAATAATAAACTGTGCAAGAAAATCTATTTTTACTCAATAAAATCAAGTTTTGTAAATTAAAACGTCTTGCGTTATTCTTAAACGTATCATACATACTAGAATACGGGAAAATAAAATATTTTAATTCAACAATCAACGCATGAACAATATTACCAATTACATTTGCAACTGAAAATAAAAAAGCTCGCAAAACAATTTATTCCAAACGTATAATAGACACTGTCTCCGCCCGTTCAACCAATGTACACACACTTCTCTATTCCCTCCATCAGCATCAACGATCGCGAGTCGCGGCCGAGAGAGCAGCACCCGCCGCCGCTTCGTCAGTCATTGCGCGTCGATCGCGAGGCACCTCTCGAATAATTCATCGAGTTTCTCAACAAAAGACGCGCTCACCCTCGAGCTCGTACTAAATTTCAGTATCCGAAAAAAGTGCGGAAAACACCCACCATAACGATCAACTGGACTAACATGTTATCCGTCTCATTGGCGATTTAACTACGGGGTAAGAATCGAATATATACATTTTTGCAGTAAATATCATACATGGTTGGGTGTGCGCGACGATGAGTAACTCGGGCTTTCCTGCAACACGACTCGGTTCGCGTTTTTTTACCTGTAGCGCTCGCCAGCGAATTAATTTTGCACGAATACACATTTCGAGATCGCGATAACGATCGGACCTCCCTCGCTTATAGCTTTATTCTACTTCTGTGCACGTCTTATCTCCGGCCATCGCTTATCGGCGACAAGATTTTTTTTTTTTTTTTTTTTTTTTTTTGTAAATGTCGCTATATAAACGATGTAATATGTACACTTGTTACTTTTTTTATTATTATTACCGACAGACAGAAGTAAATACAATAAAATTCTGCTCGAGATCTAAATGTTTAAGTACACCTACTTTCATCGTCGGGAATAATAAAGTGTCTTTTTATCTCGCACACATGAGTCACGAGTAATTTTCAATGGATAGTACAGCCCTTGTTTTTCACTCTGTTGGTGTAAAAAAGAAACATGTTTGTCTCGAGTAACAATTGACGATTTGCAAAACAAAACAAAAATCGAGAAGCCGCTCGTTGCATCATTACCGATTTGCCGAGCGTTTGTAATTGAAATTCAAGAAAGGAGCAGCGCTACTTCCTCGAGCCTCGCCTTGGCCAAAGAGGGTATTTATGCGACATGCGAAACAAAACGGCGCGTACCTATATATATATATATATATACGATTTACAAGTGAGTACGTATAACGTACCGATAAGCCCAGCCTCGGAAAATGTACGCTCGGAATGTAAAACGAACTTTGATTAACGGCTTATAAGTATATTATTGTACCCCACACGCGCTTTCGATCCATACAATTTATTTAACTGCTCATTTACTGAAAACAATTAAAAAATCGATGTTCGGTCTTTACCGATTTACCTATACTATATATGTTATATACCAAGTGACTCACGCACAAAGTATAGTTCCGACGATTTAAGCCGTGTGAGTCAATGTGCATTACATTATTTTCGCGTTTGCAAAGTATAGAGGCTGGGCATAAATCATCACGCAAAAGTTGTAAAAAAAAAGACAATCGCTCCGACACGCTGCAGCGACTAGCTTCTTCGTACAGCCTCTCGCTGATGATCTCATTTCCCGTGTGTACGCTTCTACGAAAGAGTAAGTATTTTTCGAAGCTAAACTGAGAGATAAATGCATACCAAAGCGATCAGCGAAATAGAAAACCAAATCTGCAGGCGCAGGTGTCGTGTGTCTATACTGTGATATTAACTGCTCTTTGGCGTCACATCTCCTATCCGGGACCGGTTCGCTTTCTCCGACACTCTAGCTCCAGGTTGATATATTTATGCGCCTGTTATAGGCTTGCAGGATTCCGCGTATTAATTTTTTGCACTTTTTTTTTCCCCAATTCAGTCGCCAATCAGTAATTTTGATCACGAGGAAAAGAAGAAAAAAAAGGACGATCGAGCTAACATGAGGGTATTTTATTTTTTCTCGAGGGTAAAAGTACTTTTTTTTTTTTTTTTTTTTTTTTTTCTTGAACCGATAAAAAAAATAACTGTAGATTTTTAAGTAAACCACTCTTTTTTTTAATTTTTTAATTCGTACATATACTACGGATATATTATATTGTCTTCAATAACCTTGTATAAGTAGGTACATGTATTTAAAATTCTTTTGTTTTAATTTTTTTTTTTTTTCCATCGGCTACACGTATATTTTTTACTAAACATTAATAAGCACGCGCGTGCGTGGGCTCACCATATTTTACAAGAGTCACGTAAGTATCTATCTATTGGAATTTCAAGCTTCACATTCAGTATTTTCATTCAGTTAATCACGATAAAAACACCTTGATTTGTCTTGAAAAAAAAAAAACAAAAGTAATACAGTGCTAGAAAGCGTACATGTAATAAGTACATTATTTTGCCTGATGACGGATCTTTTCTACAACGTGCGTCACGCGTAACAGTGCCCGAAATAAAAAAAAAAAAAAAAAATGTTTCTTCGACTGAGCATCGAGTTCAATTGCGCGCAAAGATACACATCATCATAATGAGTGCATACCCCGGCAAGGTGTAGTTATTGACGATTGCACGAAAATCAAAAGTATCAAGAATTAATCCAGATGTAGGTATAGTTGTTGCAATGACGTCAGCGACGCGTGTGTACATTGTCACTTTGCCGTGAGCCGTGAACGAAAGGTCCATTCACATACGAGAGCCAATAAATTTTTTAAGGGGCAGGTACATATTACACCGAGCTTTTGTTCTTTAATTGATCCCCGATGTTTACTTTTTGATCCCAATAACGCCCGTGATCTCACGCGTCAACTCACGTGTGTATTAGATCATATCGACCTTCATACAAATCAAACCGACGAATCATTGACTAATGTGCTATTTTCGTTGGTGAAACCATTGGAATACAAGTGAAACTATGACTGCACTGAAAAAAAAAAAAAAAAAAAATTAGATTCTAACAAATAATCTCTGGTAATAATATTACAATTTCTTACTTCAATAAAATGTTTATTATAAATGATAAAATATTTTCAATATTAAAAGATATTGGGTATCTAATTTCAATTAACTTGATGTACTAAATGAGTAAAAATATTTTCTTAATTGTAAGTAATGTCGTTTCAGTTCATCATGAATTTCGAAAAAAAAAAAAAAAAAAAAAAAAAAAAAATTCGTTCAGGTTTCTTTCGGGAAATTAATAGAAACTAATGCGTAGACACGTAGATGATATATATTATACGAACAGCGAAATCCATAGACCTTAAACGGGCCGAGGCCAGTACAAACGAACAGGCAATAATTGAAGTAACACAACAAGCAGCTGTTTAGTCTATTTGAGGATATAATAAATATGTATATAATTATTTTGCTTTTCATTCAAACTGTACATTGACCAAGTAAAAATAAATCCTAGAAAAAATCTTCGGCACGTTGTACAAAATAGTATTATAGCATAGTTGTGAAATACACATCGGATTTACATAAAATATAATGATCGATCGATTTCTCGTGCAGAACTAAAAACCTCGATCTTACGAGCAATACTATGGCGTTTTGATTTATTACCACGCGAATGCGATATATACACGACAGCTCATCTTCCCTATGGTAACAATCATGATTTAACTATGTACAATTGTGCTTTATGTATATATGTATATCATGTCCCATGACGACGTAAATCTAGTGAGCGTATGTATACTTTTTAATTTTCCATACTTTGAGCGCTCGTCTCAGGCATACAGGAAAAAAAATATCCATCATATACTTACACTTACTGCGCCTGTAAGAAAATTCCCCTTTACCTTTGAACGTTTAGATGGATTTTACGAGCTTATCGATTATTACTCTATATTTTCTTGGCTCACCTGATGACAACTTGTCTCCTCCTTGATTAATCGTGTGGCACCGCCTTTTTTTTCTCTCACTTGCAATGCACATTTTTCTTTTTTTTCTTCCATCATTTGAGCAAAATTATTTTTCATTGATAAATTCAAATGAAAGTGCTGGAAATTTTTATCGATCGCAAAGCGTGAAAAATAGCTCCAACGCCAGGATGTTATTTTTAGTTATCTCTTGAAAAAAAAAAAAAAAAACGCCCTTCCTTTCAAATCATCTGCACGCAGGACCTCCTACGTCGACAACTCATCGGAAGTCAAGCCTCTTTTGCATCGTCCATCATCTCGAAAATCCATGTCGTATCTCCAGCATGCACTCCCCGATAAGGACTTATCGTCCTTTTCCAGAACAGCTCCTTATCTCTCTTTCCCCTCCCACCATCTCATCCTTTCGAAGCAGCAAGCAACGCACCGATAGGTACATGAACTCTGCTGCTGTCTGAATTTTTTAAGAACTCGTGCCGATTATTTTGGCTATCTCTCTCTCTCTCTGAGGACACGATTTTGAAAACGGATAAATTGTATCTTTGCTTTCCTATATGAGTTTGATGGTCCATCTATTATACGAGTACTCGGTGCCCGTGTGCGTGGCTTTGGATTTGGCGAATGTGTAATTAATTGTCGAGAAAAAAAAGACTTCGTGAGATTCCCATGTGGATATTTTAAAAGAATATTTTCTACAATACATTACTGACGAAAAGTGAAAATTTAAAAGTAAAAGTTGTTTCTACCAATCGACTCATTTCGCCACATGATAAAAACTGTTAACAATTTACAATAAATAATGTATCTTTTATTTGTGCAGGTACGGGACAACAAGGTTTTAAGGAAGAAAAAGTAGAATCGGCAAAAGTCCCAATGGGTACCGGAAGCGGAGACAAAGGTAAAATCGTATACGCACAAGTGACCCTTTCTCTCTCTCTCTCTCTCTCTCTCTCTCCTATTGTTTACTGTTTGAATCACGCACATGATCGCGATTATCACCATCGATGATTGGGTTGGTTATCGATGAAAAAAAAAAAAAAAAGGACGATCGACTTTGTCGGATCGAGAGTTGGTCGGTGCCGAGATTGTGAAATACGTATACACTGTGCTCGGAGTGTTTTATTGCATTCAAACTCTTTAAACATTGCTGCAATTAACGTAGTATTTATCCATTTTTTTTTTTTTTTTTCTCTCAAAGAGTCAATCGAAACAATACAGATGCGGGGGAAAAAAAATTTACTTTGTCAAGCGAATTCTTAGTTAATCATACAATAATATACACGAACTACGTAAATTTAATAGCCCAAACGCTCACATGTGAATTCCAATCTACATCGTTAACAGTTCGACGTATACATATAAATAAAACAATCGCTCATCGCTAATCGAATTGAGTTTCGAATACACGACGTAACACTTTCGAGTCACTTATGCTATATTTCATACTTATAATAATCGATTTTCGTAATTTTCACTCACACAAATGTTCTCAAAAATGCACAAAGTGATTGATTGCTGTACAACGCGCACTTGCAATTTACGATCGAATCGACGATTATATCTAACGCGGCGACGACAACATTTTCGCATGTACGATGATCAAAGATTGATAAAAAAAAAAAAAATGGTATACGTATACACGTAAATCAACGTTCGATCCTCGCGCGAGTTATTTGTTTATTACAATCATCGCATCAACGTATACGTTGCGTGTCCACCGCAAAACAACCGATCTCGGCTGATGTACTACATATTCGTATTATTCATAGGTAGTAAGTAATAATCGTCAGCTCGACTATGTATCCAGGTATATATACAAAAGACACGAGTTATAAATTATTATGTGCGGCCGATCGAGTAATAGGTGGTGTATATATGCTGAATACCTATATATATATATGTGTGTGTATACGCATGTACCCATAAGCGTGTACTTTGTATGCCGATCGGTGTCTCGAAGCGATGTCGCGCCGGATGTGCGGGGCCGACAACCGTCCTTTTGCCGCTTCTGTGCCGCGAATATAAACAAAACTCATCCATAAACCTATACTTGTATTTTTTTTTTTTTATCTCCAACATAGTACAGCGTATAAGTACATGTAGTATACGTAGTAAAAAAAAAAAAAAAAAAAAAAAAAAACCCAAAACAAACGATATTTCAAAAACACCGCGGGTTTTTTTTTCCTCTACAATAATTTGTATTACAAAGAAAATTATCAGAGCGTGAAAGATGTGTAGTCCGCGCGGGTCAAGTGGACACTCGGGAAAAACGGAAGCGCATTGTGTACGCGTGTGTGTGTATTAATTATCTCTCGACGCAGACTTTAAAAATACACACGTATGGATGTATACTCGTGTATCCCGGAAGCGTTTTGTCAATTTTCGGAGCGCAGTGTACATAGACACAAATGATCTTAGTGACACGCGCTCTTCTACAACGGGAATATGAAAATCAAATGGATAATAGACGGAAACGCGCGCTACATACATGGGTTACGTGTAATATTATTGTACACGTGTGTAGGTATACATAAATAATTGTGGATGCACGAGCCGAGAGATGCGAGTCGATTTGTACGATGAAAATGAAGGAGCGCGCGAGCGCGTGCTGGAATTCACATTTTAATATATTATATGCATACCCGACTAACTACTGCAGGGCTCGCGTTTGTTTATGCGTGTGCAAGTGCAAGCGGGGGAAAAACCACGTGCGAGTGCAATGCACCGATGCGCGAGCGATCGATCGGTTGGTTTTACCTTGACGGCGAGTCAAAACCCCCACAAACTTATACTTATTGCGCACTTTTTAATTGTACCCGATTTTTTTTTTTTTTTTTTTTTGTTTTTCTTTCATATGTACAGCGATTGTACCGATTGATCGTCACTTGTTGTAGATAAAAACGCAAAGTCGCGCCTGAGGCCGATAAAAATCACGGCGGTGGGCGACGGTATGGTCGGCAAAACTTGCATGCTCATCACGTACACGGAGAAAAAGTTTCCCATGGAATACATCCCCACTGTGTGAGTATTTTTTTTTTTTTTTTAATATACGTTTCCCTTCTCTTACTCTCTGATTGTCGTGCATTATAATTCTCATACCTTACAATGATGAAAAATCGGTAATGTATATATTTATAAAGACCAGCGGTCTGGGGACATTTTTTACCTTAGCCTTCCTGGTAATAACGTAAACGAGATTTATATGTTCACCGGGTCATTGATTCACAAGGACAAAGTTTGATTAATGAAGTTTTTTTTTTTTTATTTTTAATCCACGAGATATGAACATTTAGTTGCCCATCGTCCATTAAATGGTTAATTTTCACCCATCGCTCATCGTGTGCACCAAGTCTCGAAGGCCAATAGTTTTAACATTTAAGGAATACGAATTGTAAATAATAAATGATGGTGCCTTGATTTGTAACGTAGTACTAAAAAAAAAAAAAAAAAAAAAAAAAAAATTGGACTTACATATACGAAAGGAGAATATTATATACATTAAAAATGACATTATTCATAAATTTGAACGTATTTATTTACCACCAATTGGGATAATACGTTAGCGGCTCATGTCCCCCGGGACTTTGCTTGAAATCAATTGAACACGATGAATGTTACATTTCAGCTTTGAAAACTATCCAAAGACGATTGAAGTGGATGGCCACGCGTACGACGTCACCCTGTGGGACACGGCTGGCCAAGAGGACTACGAAAGATTGAGGCCTCTCTCCTATCCAAACGTAAAACCACTTGTTAAACTACGATATACGATAATACACGTGTACATGTATGAGTGAGAATATTTTTAAAAAATTTTATTTCATAAAAAAAACATACTACCCGTGAATTTCAGACCGATTGTTTCCTGCTCTGTTTTTCCATAAACGCTCGCAGCTCGTACGAAAACGTAGCGAGCAAATGGTACCCCGAGCTCAAGGTTCACTGCCCGAATATTCCGATACTTCTCATTGGCAAGTATATCACCCTTTACCAAATCCAAAAACAACAACTATGGATGTTTAATGGGGGGGAAAAAAAAAATCTTCAATGATTCTTTACGCATTTACAGGAACGAAAGGTGATCTAAGAATCGAGAGCGGCGAGATAATAACGCCCAAGGAGTGCAACAAGATGAAAAAGAAAATCCGAGCGTACAAGTACATGGAGTGCTCGGCGAAGATGCAGGACGGCCTGGACGAGGTATTCACCGAGGCGGTGCGAGCTGTCCTCAAGAGACCGACCAGTCGAAAGTTTTGCTGCGTGTGAGAGATGGCAAGGACGAACTGATTCGAAAGGAAGAGTCCTAACTATACGTCTCGATCTAAAATGATCGCGATCTTTCATTGTAGCTTCGCCTAAAGACTTTTTACCTCCGCGGAATTTGTATATACACACGCATAATAGCACGATCGGTGTTGTTGCTTTTATTGACGAGCAGATGATTCAACGGACCAGTGAAAAAGTTTATTTACGGCGAGAAGAGTGCTTTGAGTAAAGGAATAATATGTACATGTACACACGTAATAAGAGAAAAGTATGCATCGACAGTATTTTTTAGATAAAGTTTTTTAATGTTTCATAAGTAATTGCACCACAACTTCTGGTAGAACTTTCCTTGTCAAAGATACTCGATTGCTGATTGATACTTGTTTTATGAATGTCATGATGTTTGAATGTATAGGTAAACGTAGATACTGATATATCAATAAAATCTTTACTGGTTACACGAAGCGATTAATCATGGATCATGTTAAATGACGCACTTTTTAAGAACACTGTTCAACGATTAACTATCATAAAATAACGTTACTTCAGGTACTTATACTAGAATTAAGATTGTTTATTTTTTCACAAAATAATTCGCATTGGTGTTTTTTTTAGAACGTAATGCAGAAACATTAGTAAATTTATCCCAGAAATATGGGAAACTTTTTGATACATAAATTTATAAGTGTAAAGCATGGTAATTAGGATTCATCATGTACACCGAGAATATGATCCCTCATTGAATAATGTACAAAATTATTGTACAGATAAGATCACTAGAAATAAAGAAACTAACACAGATTAGAATCAATCAAGGTTTGAAAATGTTTCTGACAAATAAATTGTTTAGATAATATCACGCCTATTTTTTTTTATAAAATTACACTTATAAAATATTCTCTAATACTTAAACATATATCAATTTATACACTCTTACTTTAGTACTTGTCGGTCACATAAATCACTCTCTTCACATAAATTCAGTTCAATAAGTTTTATTTTAAAATGATCCTTCACCCATAGGACCGCTCACTTTTTGTTGAAGAATTTTTCCGTAACCTCCTCTGCCACTGTCAAAGTCTGATCTGTACTCGTCTCTGACCTAGAATAGTATATTAAAGTCGATTTATTATATTGTGAACACATATTTAGTGAAAAAAAAAAAAAAAAAAAACAGCTTTATATACAATTCGACTTAAAATAATGAGATTTATGTACCTGTCCACCAGTTTTTCCTCGGCCATACTGTCTTCCTTCAATAAAACCAGCATCCCAATCTGTTCGAATTATCCTGTCATCAAGACGTGTGCCATTAATGTAGCGCATACAATTTTCAGCATCAGATCTTGTGTAATATTCTAAAAAACAGAAGCCACAAGGCGTCTTTTTATACTTGTCAAGACCCATTACGATTCTTTTTATGTCTCCACATTTGGAAAATAGTTCATATATTTGCTCTTCTGTCGTGTAAAATGACAAATTTCCAACATACAAAGTAGTCGATGTTCTCAAAAGTCTATCCTGTTCAACTCGTGTGCCCTAAATAAAAACGAAGCAAAATAATTATTATAACAATCTGTAGTCCATAAGAATTTTACAACCCAGTCAATATAATATTTCTCGCAAAGTTTCAAAGTTTATGAAGAAAAGATTTTTAGGTTACGTTTTAAAGGTTATACGTGGCTGTACAAACTAAAACTTTTGATTTACACCAACCTTGAAGTGCTGATCTCGATAAGAACTCAATTCAACGGAGGGCGAATGTACAGTGGTCATTTTACTGAATCTAAATTTTAACGCTGTGTCTATTCGCACCAAATCCACGTAATTACGTGGATATAAGGTTAGGAATTTTAAAGAAAAACGCTATAGCGGAAAGACCTTTTTCATTTAAAATCCCCTACTTCAATATTTGATCACAAGAAGTACTAGACCAACGTTATATTTATTGCTTACTTACACAGAAATTTTTAGTTTCACCTTTAGTGATCTTAAATTATCTACTGAGTATACTGATTTTAGGACACCAGTACGACTATTTATTGGTGGTGGTACGGTTTTTTCCCTTACCATCAGTAGCCGTGAAAAGTACCACCTGGAAGCTAGCACGCAAATTATCGACTTATGCAATAAAAAAAATACTAGGCGACGTGTTTTTATCTGCACATTTCATTTATGCAAATAATTGGATCTGCACATGCCTCAATTTTGCATAAAAAAATAAAAAAATATTTGCGATTTGCAGGATGCAGTTGGATAGTGATATCTCGGCAACAAAGGCATATTTGCAACTGCACACATTTTTAACAAACTGCACATTATCCGAACTTAATTGCACAATCAAAATTTCTATCTGCACAACCTTATTTAATTAATAAATCAATTAATAGGAATAATCCGTATTGTAGCTACGAGTACTCATGCACTGCGCATGTCCAGCTGTTGACATCGCTTATAGAGGGCGTCAAGCCTTGGGTGGGAAAGTTTAAAAAATTCTCAAACTAACATAAAACATTCATGCACTTTTACTCTCTGCTTTCGTATTTTATATAAAATAAGGACTTACTTATCAATTAGGAATTTGTAAAAAAAGCACATGCTCAATTTGAACAGTTCAAATAGAAATACAAATTTCATATATATATGTACATGCGAATGCAAGAGAAGTGGTGCAGTCTGCTCTGTCTGCTTCATGGCATTGATACATTCTGCATATTTTACACATATACTTTACATTAACCATGAAGCTAGGTTGCAAAGTTGACTACCTCAAATTTGATGTACTCATTTACTCATATAGCTGGTAAAAATACTTTGAAGGGTATGCTAAATGTCGGCATGGAGATCAAGATCAGGTCTTGTGTCAAAAGGCAGCGCTGGGTGAGAAAGTTTACCTGCAGATGCAGACCCATCTGCTTGCGTATCATTTGATTTTTAGCTGAACAGGACGAGCTACAGTTTGTTGTTACTGGTAGTGTCATTGTTAGGTAGGTGGATTTACTTGATGTAAAGATGCTAAGGGTCAAGATTTCCTAAATTGTCCAAGAATGAGGTACTTCTGGTTGACCTAGAACTATTTAGTACCTACAGGTGGACGTGTAGTAGCTACTAAGTATAATTTTTTTGAAATAAGTTGAAATTATTTTGTAGGTACCGAATGGATAAAATAAGTTACTCTTATCCATAAGACGTAGAAAAAATCTGGCATCTTATTGGATGGGGCCTGATTCGTGGTGGAAATTTAATGACGGACCAGAACTGATTTTTGAATACAAAACAAATTACTAAAATTATGCACAAATTTGAGAATTTTTTAAACTTTCCCACCCAAGGCTTGACGCCCTCTATAAGCGATGTCAACAGCTGGACATGCGCAGTGCATGAGTACTCGTAGCTACAATACGGATTATTCCTATTAATTGATTTATTAATTAAATAAGGTTGTGCAGATAGAAATTTTGATTGTGCAATTAAGTTCGGATAATGTGCAGTTTATTAAAACTGTGTGCAGTTGCAAATATGCCTTTGTTGCCGAGATATCACTATCCAACTGCGTCCTGCAAATCGCAAATATTTTTTTATTTTTTTATGCAAAATTGAGGCATGTGCAGATCCAATTATTTGCATAAATGAAATGTGCAGATAAAAACACGTCGCCTAGTATTTTTTTTATTGCATAAGTCGATAATTTGCGTGCTAGCTTCCAGGTGGTGAGAAAAGTAGATGCACCCAGTCAGTGTATACGACGTACTATAGTGCGCAGAGCAGTACTTATTATATATTTTTAAATGCATACATACATGTGCGCGTGCGCACACACACACACACACACACACACGCGCGCGCGCGCGCGCGTGAGCGCATACGAGTGTGTGTATAGTCAGCCTCTTAAAATCTGACACTGATATATATACTTGGAGAGTAAATATACAGTATACCTAACAGTAAAATAACATAACCTAATACTAACGTATTTGAGTGTAGGTTTTAAGTAGACCTGGTACGGGAAAAATCCTTACCAAGCTATGACAAACACATAACTTCATGTGGTAGAGGATTTTTAGTGAGACAATAGAAAGAAAATACCGTACCTAGCATTAATATAATCTTATTTGCCAGTAGAAGAAGACTTCACATGTCCAACATTTTCGAGCGTAGGTTTTAGACGGACCTGGTACGGGAAAAAACCTTACCAAGCTATTAAAAACTCGTAACTGAATGTAGTAGGGGATTTTCAATGAAAAAGGTCTTTCCGATAGAGTTAATCGATGCTTTCAGATTTTACGTGCCCGTAAGCTGACGTGGCTGTAAGTAAGCAACTTATCTGTAACCTGACGTCTTTTGAAGATTACGTGTCCGCGTAAGCTTATGCGTGCCTATAAGAGAACATGTGTGTGTAGGTATATGAAAGCACAATTTTTATTTTTACTTGTCTGATACATAAATAAATATGTATATATCTGTGGCGTCTCACATCTCTCGCGCTTCAGGCTCTACTCGCCAGGTGGCCAAGCCCCTAATAGTTCGCTCCCGTCAAGCGGCGAAATTCCCGCACGATTATATAAGCGCGATCGAGATGGTCTTAGCAAAAAAATTTTATATTAAAAAAAATTACATTTAACATTAATTTCTTAAATTTCTTAAATTTCTTTAAAATTCCTAACCTTATATCCACGTAATTACGTGGATTTGGTGCGAATAGACACAGCGAAATTTTAATTCAGTAATTTACTTTATATTAATGAATCTAAATTTTGTCTTGAACAAATTAATAACTTACAATAATTTCCTCTATCTATTATGCTTTATGCTCCAAAAAGCAAAGCATCAAAACACGAAAACTTCTTCGTTTGCCTGACCTGACCAGCCTGACGCGCAGAGACGCAAGTTCAGGTTGGGTTAGTCCGGTGTGTCCAATTTACATGAGGTGTATTCGCTCCGAGCCGATACAGAGGTTGCGCCCCCTCTAGCCAAAATCAGGCAAAATTTCTTGCATGTAAACAAACGGTTTAGAACATATATACATGCGTATAGCTGCTTGTGATTGGCTGAATAAGTCAGCAGGAGAGGATCGTCGTTCTCTCTCTAGCTTGCCAAGAGCCAATCACAAGCAGCTGTACGCATGTATATATGTTCTAAACCGTTTGTTTACATGCTAGAAATGTTGCCTGATTTTGGCTAGAGGGGGCGCAACCTCTGCATCGGCTCGGAGCGAATAAATATATATATGAGCTCTTTGAACAATGTGTTTTTTTTTGTTTCGAATACAGTGGGCAGTCAATTATTACATGCTCGTACTGCTCGTATAGTCCTATTTTCTGAAGCCGCACTGGAATCTTACTTTTTTTCTCCGGTTAATGCTCTTATTTTATGTAACAAGTAATGATATACGCACGTAATTCAATTTAAAACGAAACTGCAATCCTACTAATCTCTGCTGCAGTAAGCAGACGTTTTTGCATGATGTATATAGCGGGTCGAGAGAGTTCGAGGAAGAAAAAGTGGGGGTACTTCTACGAAATCGCGGTAAATTATAAAATTATCATGTATTGCGTATTAAACGGATGTGACAAACAATAGAAATCAAATCATTACACATTTTTTAGTTCAAAACAACTCTATAACTAATAATTTATCTTTAATTATATGTATAACCTGAAATAATGGTAATTCACATTAAATTGAAACTAAATAAACGTTTCGAAAATGAAAAAAAATTTTGTTCAATTTAAAATTTTTGGAATCGGATTATATATACACGTATACACAGATACTTACAACTACGATATATTTTTTTTTATTTATAATTATCAGATTAAATGAATCTTCAACTTGTCTCAGTAAAAATTTGTCTTATTAGTATTGTGCAAATAGAGCATACACTGGTTGGTTACAGTATTAAAAAAAAAATTTGAATATACAGTAATTGATCTTAACATAAAACAAATTTCGAAATGATTTTCTTTAAACAAATGAAATTACTTAAGTATTCCAATGAAACTACTTTTATATATCGTTCCAATATTTTTATGTACATTATTTAGTTCATTTTTTTTATTGATAACTTCTCCAAAATCGTTAGTCATATACAATTAGTCAAAAGCAACAGCAAAGACATTGTCACGAAGACTGATATGATTATTTCACAGTCAAATTTACCCAAAAATTTTATAAATCCATTCAATTTTATCAAGTTTTGGGTTCCTAATCCCATAAGCCAAGAAATATTTCATTGAATATTAGTATGTATGTAGGTAAATTAAGTTTATCAATACTATCTTTTTTATCTCTTACATTAATTTATACAATTACAAATTAAATTACAATCATACATAAATGTATCTGACATTTGAACAAAATAAATTATAATCAATAGAATTAATAAGAACACACAAAAACATGTTATACAAATTACAAGTTAATAATGTAAGGAAATAATCATAGGTTCGCCAGAAATACACTTTACTGGAAAATCAAGCATAACTAATACAATATATTTTATAATTGGAAAATAAAACTATATCATGTACATACGATTAAAAATTTGAGTCGCATGTTTAAACTTGGTAAAAAACAACATGTCCAATTAACCAGAATTAATTATAATAAATATTACACCGTTCTTGTATGTATACTAATTTGTAAATCTTGGGAGGGATAAAAAAAAAATTTGTTTCCAATGGCTTTTAAAAAGTTTAAAAACTGAATCCAATGAAATATATCTCAAGCAAGTTTGTTAGAGAGTTCCATTGATCATTCTCGGGAAAAGATGACATATTCTCCTGTCAAAGTCTACTCGCAGTTCTCTCTCAAGCGGGAGAGACGATGCACACAGCACGCACGCGAGTGGCGCTTACATTACACAGAAGACGCAATTTCACTATTATCACAGATTAACACAGACAGCTTCTGTCATGGTTGGACACGGCCTCTCTTTTTTTCTACGTATATGTATGTAAGCAAAGACCTTGTCTGCTTGCCTCCTCCTTCCGCTTACAAGGACTGAGACAATGATTATTACAAATTCTGCTACATCAAACACTACACGTATGAACGTTCACGAATTTCCGCAAATGTCATTTTTTTTCATTTTTCATAACATTTTTTTTCTGTAATTTTGATACTTGGTCAGACAAATACCTACATTGGTAATGACAATGAATGTTTGATACGAAAAAAAAAAACACTGAAACAAATTTGTATATTGCATAATTTTTGGTAAAGATCGCAGTAAAGATATTGATGAACCTCAGGAACCTCATTTAAAAAATATTTTAACATCTATTTGGACCTCCCTGATAATTATAAATAGCACCCTATTTGTAAAATGTTTATACGCGCATGTGTATTTACAGGCTTCTCTCTAACTAATTGGCATTAATAATATTTGGCTAAGAAATTAATGTGATGTAATACCGTATGTAAATAAATAAAAATTTGTGCAGCACTTTTACAATGATTTATCGTTGTACGTATTTCAAAAAGTCTTAATACGGTATATTTGATAAAAAATCTCAGCTCATTCTTTTTTTGTTTTATTAAAAACATTCGATAACATTTTACAAATAGCACAACTTAATATAAATTATATCTAACGCGTTTTGTAAGGTATTAATAGATTTGAATTTTGTATAGGTCTCTAAAACATTTAGGCTAGTCTTTTGTATTAATTACTTGTTTGTTTACTGTAAAAGTTCAAGATCCAATCTTATTACTGACAATACCATGTCATTGCTACTTCATTCATGGACCTTGGGTACAGCATTGAATGATAATTTGTTTTATTTTGAATTTTCTTGTGCCATTATGACATGTATACATTTACCTTTGAGCATAAAAGTAGTTGGATGAAAAATTGTAACGTAAGAAATGCATCATTGGTAATTCACGGTGTTGTCTTGGTAACGTGAAAGAGTTTATGGCATTAGTTTCTTTTTATGTCCACTCCATTAATAACACACGCTCTCTGTCTTACTCTGTTTTGTAACTGTTTATAGAAAAAAAAACAATATTTAGACTTTTAGAATCTATCTAATATGCAACGAAGTCGCTAACAACATCTTTTATGTTTGTGCTGTTTGGTACTTTTCCTCAGATTGACTGTTTCGCCGGTTTTTATCGCTTGTCGTTCCTTGCTTTCCTTTTTCGTCCGCAAAACTTCTCGTGTTATTGCCATAAACATCTGTAACAAAAATTTGTGGATATTAACTGAGAAATTACCTCAAGGCTATACTTAGTACTAAATGACTAATAAATTGGAATTTTAAAATAAGACACGAAAGAAATTTTCGTCACTATAAAGTTGTGACCTGTAGGGTATGTGCTGAATGAATTAGGCGACTTACTTCTTCAACGTTAGTATTGTCCTTAGCAGAAGTTTCAAACAGCTTAATACCCATTTGGTTGGCAAATCTTTGGGCATCCTCTGTCAAAACGACTTTTTGATTTGGAGCATCGTTTTTGTTTCCCACTAAAATCCTATTGACAACAACATCACAATTGTGCTCGATTTCGTGCAACCATCTTTTGACATTTGCAAAAGAATCGCCACTAGTTACATCATACACGACTATAACGCCGTGCGTTCCTCTGTAGTAAGTGGACGTTATTGTCCGAAATCTTTCCTGACCAGCTGTGTCCCAAATTTGCAGCTTCACCTTTTCTCCGTCAACATCCACAGTACGAATTTTAAAATCCACACCTATCGTAGTTATGTAGTTTCCATTGAATGTATTATCTGCAAATCGGAGTAGCAGTGAACTTTTTCCAACACCTTTAACAAAAAATAAATAATGATCACTTGAAACTATAATTCACAATGAAGTCAAACATTGCTTGGATTATTTTTCAACAGAGCATAGTTTTTTCTAAGCCTTAACAACAACTCAATCAATTTACTATGTAATTTCAATGATAAAAATTGTTTCAAGAAATAAGAGAAGCTTATTTTGTTTGTTAATGTGTATCTATGTACAAAAACAATCTAATAAATTTTATAAAATAATTTGTTTTTATTAAAACAAAACTTTTCAAGCTATTAAGCGTACACTTAAAGGGTTTTCAGATTGTAAAAGAAAAAAAAAGAGAGAGAGACAGAGATGTTATTATTGATGACTCATTGATATCTCTCACTACAAAATTGAAGTAATCATATAACATGAATGTATGTATATTATGGCATGTTTTCAAAGACATGAGAATCAACTTACAAACATGTGGCTTACAGTACACATATGGTAATCTGCTTGTTTTTCATGATGCTGGATTGTTGTTTGGTAACATTATACTAATTGATTTAAATATTTTTACAGCTGTACAAACGCTGTAGTTTTATGGCTGTGTAATACTGCAACTGGTACAATGTTATAAAAAGCTTTGATATTTTTCATGCTCTTCAAGAAACTTTGACAAGCAATTTTAGAGCACATAACATGTGTATACCACTATAATTGTGTAAATAAAGAGTAGTGGAACAAAATCGAGCTTTCCAAGTAAACGTATCCATATGAGTTCATGGTCAAAAACAATGACGAAAACGAGACTAAGTATAAATTAATCCTCTCAGTTTCTCCATTGCAAAAAAAATCAGATCAACCAGCTTTGTCATTAATAGAGTTTTTATTGTTTCTTCCAACGAGTTACCTGATATAGGAGGTACACCTCAAATGCACAAAAGGTGCACAAAGGAGCATAAACAAAAGCTACTCACAGGCCAGGCACACTCATGCATTTATATCCTATACTGTATACCAAGTAGAAACACATGGGTATAAGTAAAAAAAATCTGTTGCTCGATAAAGCTCCGTTTTCCTTTTTTGCAAGGAATAAAAAAAAAAGGAAAAAAAAAGATACTTAGAGAGAGAGCATCAAAGAGAGCGTTGATGATGAAAAAGAAAAATGTCCGCGAAGTGGGTGGATCCGCACCCCCGCCTTTGAGCCGAAAACCCATGCGATGCCGTATGTGGGTGTTTACTCACCACTGTCGCCGATGATGAGCAGCTTGAACAAGTGATCGTAGTCCTTGGCCATTTCTGCTGTTTATTTTCGCACCGCACACCACCTCCTACTCTCTTTCTTGATACGTTTTGTGTATACTTATATGTATATATATATATACACACATATATATATATGTGCAGAAGTGTACACGGAGAGATTCCAAAGCAAACGTGTGCAAGCAGACGTTCCTCAGCGATGACGGCTACACACCTCTTTCTCGGAATGCACTGTAACTTTTCGCGTATGAGTCTGTCTCTCTGCTACGGTTGCCGAACTCGTCGCAGTCGTTGCCTTGATAATTATTGAAAATAAAAATAGCGTGCGTTTGAAAAAGGAAAATCAACGATAAGTCCTGAGCACACCGAGCACAGTACTAGTATATAGTAGCACTAGTATAACTGCTACGTATATATGTATATATATAACTTAAATCGTTTATATGCGGCTGTTGTATGCACATGTACATGAAAACTCACACACAGAGACACGTACACACACTCTCACTTGCAGATGGCAGCAGAGAGAGAGAGAGAGAGCAGATATTTAGCAGACTCCAATTGTTTCTTGAACTATAACAATATGTACGGAAGTGTAATACTATATGCACTATAACTCATATTGAGAGCTCAGAAATGGAATACTTAAGTATGAAATATGGATGATGGATATTATGCAGTGCGGCTCATACAACACTTTTGCAGAACCTCTTAAAGAGCTGCTCCAAGATAAAATATCTATAAGAAAGAAGAGATGACATGATGAAGATGCTGTCGTCGCCACAGGCGCGCCTGTGTGTGGAAATTTTTTTTTTTTTACACGTTATAACTATATGTGTAGGTACAGATTACTTATCACACGAGAACAGAGCAAATCGAGACAGGAAGACCGCTTTGTGTATTGTTTCCTTAACACACTATATTGACGCTGAAAGTGTTATTGCACCGTTGTAACACTCAGGTACTCATAATTTCGTCTGTCAACACGTAACTAATTTTCGCGAAAAACCATCACCACAGAGACAATAAAGAGACCTGTGAGTGTAAAAATCAAGATTTGGCAGCAATTAAATTTGCAATCGTCTTTAATATTGTTAACGACGCAAGCGAGTTCCGCTGATGATTCCGCAAAACGATGCGTGCGATTGAGCACTCAGCAGCTCACTGTTCTACAATACGCGCGCTCTTTTCCACTATTCGCTGATCCGCCATCAGCTCGTTGCGCAAAATGGAAAAAAAAAAAAAAAAAAACATTTGGTCCATCTGTCTCAGACGCAGACTGAGTCTACAACTACATTAACTCTCTATACCTACGTAGGTATATACTTATACTTCACTCAGTCCTCACTGCCAATCATGACCTGCCACTCGTGCCCATGGATGATGCATCACATTTATCTCGCGCACACTAAAGTTGTTAATCGTTAATGAGCTCGTTCACCCCCCCACCCGTTAAGATCAACTTCCATCACTATGTTTTATTCTAGATTTATCATGACGAGAGATTGATCGATGGGATCTGATTCACCGACTTTTTTTTAAATCTTTTTTTTTGTGTGCTGTAGTCTGGGGGTCCCTCTGATGATTCACTGAACTATCAAAAAGTTCATGTAAGCAGCAATAGGAAGGCTTGGATTGGTATCTCTGTCTGATGGATGCATATGAAAAAATGTTACAAACAAGTGTACTTTTTTTTTTTTTTTTTTTTTTTTTTTTTTTTTTTCCTATTATTGTTTAAATAATCATTCATCGAAATGAGAAAAATGATTTTAAAAATTAAAAAAAACTGATAGTATTTCTGATTTCAAATATGCAAGCATTTTATTTATAAGAAATAGTAAAAAAAAAAAAAAAAACATTGTAGAATCGTTTAAATGTAAATGAACAAAAATAAATAGCTAAAGTGATGATAACAAAAGCCATTTACCTATATTATATTGTAAGATTAAACTCATATCAGCTTTTCTATTCACGAGTGTGACATACGTTACGTGCAACATATATATAGCCATCAATTGTTGTACACAAGGATATTATATAAGCTCTGCTAAATGTTATCCGCAATGTAACCATCACGTTGAACCCGTTTTCATAGTAAATGTCTATTATGTACATTGTAATAATATTACAAATGTAATTCGTTGAAATAAATTTAAAATAATGTTAAACATAATTAAATATATATTTCGCGTGTTGAGTGGAACAAGAGGCTATCTCGATTTTAGATATTAGATTAAGTAGTCATGACTAAAAAGGGATCGTATAGTTTTTTAAGGTTTCCCTTCAAGTGTAGAGAAATAATAAACTTTTTCTGTCACTTTGAATCCAAACAGTCTTTGGAACTTTCAACAAATCTTGACTAAATTTTGATAAAATCTCTAAAGATCAAAATTGTTAATTATCAAGTTACAATCTGAAGTAAAAATAACAAGTAATGGTAGTTAAGCATATAAAAACGTAAAAAATAATAATAAAAACATATTTAAATCTTTGATTAATTGTTGATCTAAAAAAACAAGTGTCAGAAGTAGATAGAGAATAAGCGCGTACATGGGATTTTTTTTTATTAAAAACCGGTTTCTGTTCGAACCGATTTCTCCGAGAGGAGGGGTTCATATACATACGTACATGCATGCATATATACTTACATGCAGGAAACAAAACGTCAGCATCTGTGAGTGATATACCTACCTACTGTGTAATCGTACTGATATACTATCTATTCGATTTTCGTGACGCGTCACGGATAGGTTGAGAAAAAAAAAAAAAAAAACCCGATCAAACTACAAACGTGTTACCGCTGCGATTGTTGGCAAAATGTCAAGCGATTCGAGGAGCGAAAATAAAATCGAGTACCTATTTTAATTACGCTTTTAGCTTTCACATATACGTACACTTACCATATGGGCCCTTTTGCTTATCTTCTGTACGGGTGATGTAGGACCTTTATTGCAATAATTTACATTACTACTCAACTTGTAAACAGAATCATCGTTTCATAGCCGTTAATTCACTCGGATTGCGATCAATTGGTATCATCTCCCTCATTGCACGCTCGTCGTCAGCTGTGTCCACACAGATATATAGTTCAGCTGTATATATATTTACGAATAGGCTGGCCTGGCTGGCGTTCCATCAAGCTCCGGTATATACATAATTCGATGTTTTTGTTGCAGAAGGACTTGTGGTTCAAAGGATAACAATATGCTGAGATTCTTCACAACTGTATCATCCTCTGTGAACAAACCATTGGTAAATTGTACTTTTAGTGCTAATAAAGAGTGCCTTTCTCTGCTGTTTTTTAACTAAATTCATTTTTTTCACCCAAAGGCTTATGGAGGAGTGAAAAATATTTTCAAAAAGCAACAAGTAGCCGGCATAACGTCCATACAGCTGAACAAGCTTCCACTTCCCAAACAACCAGTTCCTAATTTGGAAAAGACAGCACAGTTGTATTTGAAGTAAGTTTCGTGTGTGAGCTGATATGATTACAGTTTGGGGGGAATATTGATTGTTTGCTTTATTTTGACAGATCACTGCAGCCTCTTTTAAACGATGCAGAGTATAAAAACACGGAAAAAGTGGTTGATGAATTTATCAAAGAAGGAGGAGTTGGGAAACAATTGTATCGAAAACTGCAAGAAAGATACGAAAATACTGAAAACTGGGTAAACAATGCTTTCATCCTTTTTCGTCGATTATTTAGTTGATAGAGTGAATAATACCGTGAAGTTTGACAGATGAGTGAATGGTGGCTTCAAGCAGCCTACTTGGGCTACAGGTATCCTGTGATAGTGCACTCTAGTCCGGGCACTGTAGGCCCGGCTCAAAAATTCAAGTCACCTGACGATGCTCACAGGTATGCAGCTCATGTCATCGGTGCAGTGCGTAATTACAACAGCATGATAAAAAGGTTGGTAAAATAGTCATTAAAACGAGCAGATTATCATTATTATTTTTTTAAGCTTATTAACAGAGAGAAATTTTTTAGCGGTGATATTAAACAAGAAATGATGAGAGACATCCCACTAGACATGCAGCCTTATGCTATGATCTTGGGAACCCACAGACAGCCTAGCGAAGGAGTTGACAATCTTCTTCACTTTGATAATCCTGATCACGTCATTATTATAAGAAATAATCATGTAAATACATGCATTGAAAAGTTCAAAAATATTTCGTTAGATAATGTACTTTTAATTTTATAGTTTTTCAAACTTCCACTAACGGACAGTGTGAACGAAGAACAACTCGCAGTCACCATTAAAGATATCGCGGAAAGATCGCGCACGCCAGGAAAACCAGTTGGTATTTTGACTGGAAACGATAGAGATACATGGGTTAAAGATTATAATAAACTAATAAGTATGCTATGTATCACGGTAGCTAAATATTTTTCATGTTTTTTTACTAAAAGTATGAAATATCGATCTCAGGTCTTGGATCAAACAATAAAATCGTAAAAGATTTGGAAACCGCCTTGTTTGTACTCTGTTTGGATAAAGAATTGCCAAAACAATTCTTTGCCAAGAAAAATAACGAGTCTGTGAGAGGATTGCAAAGTTTGACAGGGTGCAGTTCACAAACAAACGCAGCAAACAGATGGCATGACAAAACTGTGCAGGTAAACTTGTTGAAAAATATTTATATACAAAATAATATTCTCAAGGTGTTAATGTTGTTTATTATTATGCAGTGCATTGTATCGTACGATGGATTTGTTGGTATGGAATATGAACACAGTCCATGTGAAGGACTTCCGATTTCTGTGCTGCATGATCATATAATCAATTATGTGTAAGTTACCAATACCAAGCTAAGTCTTATAAATTTTATAATCTTAAAAATGTAATGCACTTCATTTAATTTATTATCTTCAGCAAAAATAAATTAACTCAAAAAATTAATATACCTAAAGAGTATCCAAAGGCAGAGCATTTACAGTTTCAACTAGACTCATCGATTGAAGATGCAATTCAGAAAGCAACAATTTCTGTTGATACGTGAGTAAAATAAGATTTTTCATTGTTTTCAATTTAAATAAACATATAATAATATCAAAAACTTATTTTCAAAAATCTAGACTAGCTCAAGATATCGACTTGGAATGTTTCTTGTTTGATGAGTTTGGATCAAACGATATTAAAAAGTGGAAAATGAGTCCAGATAGTTTCATTCAAATTGCCATGCAAGTGACATTTTACAGGCTTCATAAAAAACCACCAGCCCATTATGAGTCGGCTGCTCTGCGTCGATTCAAAAGTGCCAGAACTGAATGCATTAGATCCACGTCTAATGAGTCGGTCCATTTTGCTAAATTAATGGCTTACGAAAGTGAGCCAATAAGTGTTAAAAAAGCAGCCATGTTGGCAGCAATCAACGCGCATAAAAATATCGCTAACGAAGTAAGTTTATCAAGTCAGTCTCTGATAAAAATCGACTTATCTTTAGTTTTGCAAAAATGTATAAAATTTTTGTTTCCTTTCAGGCCGCAGCAGGTGAAGGCGTCGATCGTTTATTTTTTGGTCTAAAAATGATTGCTAGAGACGAAAAGATCGACTTACCCAAGTTTTTCTCGGATGTCGGTTACACCAGAAGCACTCACTTTACTCTGACATCCAGTCAGGTAGCTTACAAAACAGAATCTTTCATGTGCTACGGACCAGTCGTTCCGGAAGGCTACGGCTGCTGCTATAATCCCAGGCCGAGTGACATGTTCTTTGGCTGCTCTTCCTTCAACTCGTGTCCTGAAACGTCTACTAAAGGCTTTGCTGAAACACTCAAACAATCTTTGCGTGATATGAAAAAACTTGCCGAATCATAATGTGATATGTTATTAATTATATGTTTTTCATAAAAATACGAATTTTTAAAAACTGTTATACAACTTTTATATATTTTTTGTATGGAAAAGGTTTTAAAAAAAAGTTTATTACATTTTTAGAAAATGAAAAAACAGTTTTTATTCATCATTCCTTGCTCACACGATGTATATAAAACTCATTATTTACAATATATTACTCGTCTGTACGAAAATGTACACATAAAAAATTTTCATCTTGCACACAAAAAGTTTGTGTGAAAAAATCATTTATGTATAAAAAAAAAAGCTTCTTTTCTGTCTTAAAAGTACTTAATATCACATTTTCATTACTTCGATCTTTGTATGGCTTACAATTCTTCATGAGTAATTGTGTTTGAATTTCTTTCTGGTGGAAAACCCCAAAAGAATGTAGGGTATCCTTTAACTTCCCTTTCTCTCGCGACAAAAGCCGAAAACGACGATATGCAATTTCCAATGAAATAATGTGCTCTGCCAAGAATAGCTAGATCTAAATGAGGAGAAGCATCTCCCTCTTGTTTGAATACTTTGACCTACAACAATATACAATGAACAAATTGTAATGTTCAATAAAAGTTCTTAGTAGTAATTAAGAATAAAAAAACTTACGTCTAATCTCTCCAAAACTTTGTTGAGTTCTGAAATCATGTAGTTGTTATCCGAGGCAACAAAAACTGAGCTCACATCTTTATTATTGCGAATCACGCGTTTAATATGTCGCACAATCAGTTCATGGGTAGGCAAGCACATTGACTGTGTAGCCTTGCCCCTTTCATTTCTGTATCCAAGGCACTGTGGTGCAGCAAATAAGTTTGGAGCAGTTGAAATGTACTCACATGCTTTAACCTTGAGCACAAAATAAGAGATTAACGCCAGTTGTGAATTTGAAAGGAGATATGAATGTTTTAATGTTTACCCAGTCAACGCCATTTCTCAGATGGATACCTAAAAAGGCACCTGGTGGCAGATATTTTTTTATAAATTTTTTTGCTCTAGAAATCATGTCGTCACTCCAGACTAGATATTTGTGAAGTTGCTTGTTTTCAAGTTGAACTGGAAAACTAGCAGGAGCTCCAGTGAACGCTAGAACAGGCCATTTTGCAGAAGTGTACCTCTGCCTCCATTGAAGTTTCATGTCCGAGTGATGCATATCATAATGCAATGGTCCATAAAATTCTGATCCAACAAAATCTATGGTGAATGTATCCCAAAATGGACCAAATGGATTGCCATCCTTGGCATTGCAAGAATCAATTGTTCCTCGAGCTGAATAACAAAATGCTAAAAAAAAGGGTAATAAACACACATGAAAATTAACTATAGAAAAAGGAAAAATTTTGTCTCGGACTATAGCATTGAAACTTGTTGTTACCAATTCTTTCTTCTGGAGGCCAGTGGACTGGTGCAATGTCTCTCATGAAATCTTCCATTAAAATTACTCTATGGTATTTTTCTAGCTCAGATACATTAAAATATGTATCAAAAGGCACTTGAATCTGTAAATGTATCGCACAATTAATGAAAAAAAAAAAAAAAAAAAAAATCAACAGCGAAGTCAGATCATTTTCATCCAAACAATTACCGATTTGACTTCTCCTGTCCTGTACTCAACCCATGGTGGTAAAATAAGTGTGCGATTCAGTGCTTTAGCAAAACCTAAGGCACCTAAGAAGTGATCTGCCTGATTACCGAAACGGCCTAGAGGAACAACAACGATAAATTCACAGTAGCAACATAATAAATGTAATCCTACAAAAATAACAAATTAATCATCTTACCCATGCAAGGACAGTACGCTATGTAACCGCTGATATCGAAATCATCATCAAAACACAGCACATCACTTATAACAAAAGCCAGGGAGCAAAGAACAAAAAAATTCATTGCAACCGGCGAGTTTGAAATTTTTCATTGACGAAAGTGATGAAAATAAAGACACAATTTGCAAGTGCGTGGTGCAACAGAATAACGTGTGCACCTGGACCTGGACTCTCTGTGCGGCGTCGCTTCCGTTACTATGGTTACAAGCTTACAACGGGTAAAAAGGAGAGATAAGTACATGCATGCTCTCTATCTCTAGTCTCTCCCCTGCATGTCCTATAATATCCTATTACCATTTACCACATAACAAAAGTTTCTCCCTCTCCCTCCTTGTTCACTTTTCTTTTCCATTCACACTCACACACTTTGGTAAACATCAGCTGATTCTGAAACGAAACTAGTCTGACATATAATTTAGCAAACCATATCTATTGTCGATCAATCGCTGTAAAATACAAAACAATATAATAATGCGGCTCATTCGACGCATACATCACATCTACACTTGATTTGTATACTTATAGTTCGAGTATTGCTAAATTTAATGTGCATCAGCTAAAACGTTATTTATAAAGCAGTCTGCGAGGGTTTTCTTTCGAGTGAGTCGTCATCGTCGTTATAAGAGTATGGTGAAGAACTCCCGCGGGTGAGGAGCGGAAACATTTCGGTGCAATAAAAAAAAACAGTCAACTTACCTTTTACGACCTTCTTTTGCTTTCCTCGTTCTCATCTTCTTTCCATGCATATATTTACGTACTTGATACAAAACGAATCTAAAATTGAGTGACAACGAACTTATTACGAGACGAAAGATTCGCATTAATTGGAAGGACCAATGACTCCGTCAACTAAAATCTCGAACGCACAGCAGCAGCGAAGAAAAACAGTTTTGTTTGTGCGATAAACAAACACACGAATTTTATTTTTTTCACACAAGCCATGGATGAGATTTTGTTTCGTCTATCAAGTCAGCTTGAAACTTTGCAGGTACATAGTCATTGTCTTTTTTATATGTTTGTTAAAAATTATTTCTATGGGTTGCTCTCCACTGTTTTTGTTGTGGTGAAGGTATTGTGGCAATTATGGGCATAGGTCACTCAATGCTAAAGAATCATTGACCTTGGTTACGGAAATTGGGAACCTATCCAAGTAGGCTTGATGATATAATTTCAAGTTAAAGGCTACATGACTCCGTTGTTGAATTAAAATTTTTTTTAAAGATTTGTAGAGTTTCAAAAAATTAATTTTTTTTTTTAAATATATTTATATGTTGATTTCACTAAAGCTAAATTCTTGTTCATTTAGATTCAAACATCGGTGACGGTACAACACTTGCAGCAATTATTGAGTACATGGCTGGCACAAAGTTCAAGACTCCTTCAAAATACATTCAATGACCTTCATGGCCAAGAATTCAAGGAATCTCTGCATCATTTGTTAACGTGGTTTCACCAACAAGTAAAAACATTGGCTTACCATTTGTACTCTGTTAGGATTAGTCCAGGGTATATTTATCACCAGCTTGGTAATTTTTACACATTGGAAGGTATAATTCTTTAAAAAGTAGTTAATTACTGTCACAAATTTTGTCACCTCTATAATTTTAATTTAAAATCAAGTTTCAAGAAGAGAGCTTTTCTACTTTATAACTGGTATTTTAACCGGAACTCTGATAGGATACTCCATAGCTTTAAACTGGAATGTTCCCAGGCATTTACATCCCATGAAAGCAATTGTTTGTCATCATTACCTCAATGGTGTTGAAGTAAATACACTTGATAATTTTGATTAGTTATATAACACAGCAAGTTTGTTAATAAAAAACACTAATTTTCAGGGTGTTTCCTTGGTTGAGGATGCTGAAATGCCAGTGATACAAAAATCAAATGAAATTCTAATCCAAGTTAAAGCAGCTTCCATTCATGAAGTAGATTTAAAAATATGTTCCGGCTATTCAAAATTTTACAGAAGGTTGTTAAACAATGGGGTTAGTTGAAAATTTTGATAACTAATTTTTACCCAGCATTTGTATTATTTATATTCAAATTAATTTTAGAGGTATAAAGATGTACCTGTGATCCTTGGAAGGGATTGTGCTGGTGTTGTAGTTGACATAGGCCATGAAGTTGTTAACTTTGACATTGGTGATAAAGTATTCTTAGCTGTGCCATCGTGGGCTTCTGGAACCATGGCGGAATACATTGTTGTACCTGAAACTCAAGTTGCCAAAATGCCAAAAGTTTTACCATTTGAAGCGTCCGCTAGTTTGCCTTACAGTGGTTGCATCGCTTGGGATGCCCTAGTTAATAATTCAATTATTAATGAAGGAAATGCTCAAGGAAGAAGGTATACATTTTTTTTACTAGCAATAGTATTTTACCAACTAAAAGTTATATTCATGTAATTTTAGAGTATTAGTTTACGGAGGAAGTACGCCAGTTGGCTGTATAATTATACAACTAATCAAACTTTGGGGAGGTTCTACCGTTGCAATTTGTAAGCCTCAAGCTGCTCCTGTGGTAAAAGCACTGGGTGCTAATGATGTAATTTTATTACATGGATCGGATGTTTTAAAGGAACTAGAGCTTTCAGAAAAGTAAAAATTTTGTTGATATTACTATTAATATTTCTATTATTTGAAAGATGATAATAACATATTTTTTAGATTTGATGCTATTTTTTATACTGGTGGACATCTTGTGGATAAAAAAATTTTAAAACGATTTTTACTACCGCACGGATCTTACGTGTCAACAGTTCCTGAAAATTTGATATCAGATTCATTAGGATATTTAACAGGAAGTCTATTCTCGGGATTTATAAGGATTAGGTTGCTGATACAGGTAGTTAAATTCTAAATTTCTTATTCGTGAAATTCAAAAGAAAAAGGTAAATGTATGTTTTTTTTTATCTTTGTTTTAGTACGCTTTTGCTTCTAGTATTTACCATTGGAACGACGGAATTAAACTGAACACTGTCTATTTACAATCAATACAAAAACTTGCTGATGCAGATCAGCTTCATCCTATTTTAGATAAGGTATATGCTCCAAATTGGATCGATCAAGCCTTGTCACACGTAATGTCAGATGTCAATGCAATCGGTAGTACTGTCATCAAATTTCATTAACGTTTTAAATCGATAAATTTTTTGATACCGAACTATGTAAATATGTGATTTTTACAAACTTTTTATACACAGAAGTCACGAAAATTATTAGTACTTACAAGTATTTTTTAAAGATGTACATTCTGTTGCCGTGTTGTTGATCTGTTTATAGTATATTTTTGTGTCACCTAAGAATCCAGTCTTCGATTCAACCAAGACTGACTGTTGGGAATGTTATATATCTATAACACAGACTGATAAAATCAGTTTACCAGAAACTGAAAAAATATATTTAAAAGCTTTGTAACCGTTATTAACTTTGCGAATTGTAATTTATCTATTATAATGTATGCATAAGTTTATGAGTATATACATTTATAAAATGTTAATTCACTTTTAGAACATTAAACTCGGAACTATAAAATTTCAGACAGTTTACGATTATTGTTTTCTTTTTTATTTTGAAAATAAAAAAATAAAATATTTCGTTCTTTTATAAAAAATTCAGAGGCTGAATTATGCCTCAGATGCAAAGTATCTTTTTTGCTGCAATGAATCACTATACCTAGAACAATAAAAAAAAAAAGAGGTAAAAGTGAGATTCGACACTATTTTGGTTTTCGTCCTCTGCCACCACCAGTCTTTGCCTTTTTAGCATTGGGTGTTTTCTTTTCATCTGCCTATTAAAAAAAAAAAATAATAATAATAATAATAATAGGATACTCACTTTATTACTGAATACCCTAGTATGTTGAAGTAACAATTTCATTCCTTAGTTCATAAAAAATTACCTTTCTCTTTGGAGTCGTATTTGTACTTGGCATTACTTTAAAGAAAGAATCTATTCTACCCTGTGTTCCAGTGTGTTTAGCTTTCAGCAACTTTTTAGCGCCATTTCTTACTCTATCTTCATTAAACTGTTTGTCTCCACACAAAAATTTGACCAAACCATCTTCATCTGGATCATTCCATTTCAGCTAAAATGAATTCTTGTAATGAATTAAATGTAATTAAGAAAAATAAAAAAATTGTATCTTACATCTACTTCTTCAGGATTTTTTACTTCTGGTTCAATAAACAGCTGCCTGGCTTCCTTGTAGTTCCAATCTTCAGGAACAGGAAATTTTTTTGTATCTAAATTCTCTAAAATCTTTTCCAGAGATTTGTAATTTTTTATAAATTCAATAGCCCTTTTTGGGCCTACTCCTTTGATACTCTGTGTATAATCACATCCTAACATGATGCAAAGATCTATAAACTAAAATTGTAAAATCAGTAAATTACATATTTTCGACTAAATAGTAAATTGAAGCAACAATACTGACTTCTTCTTTTGTTAATCCTAGTCCATTTAATACTTTGTCATATTGGATCTCTTGGATAGGCATCTTTCTGGCCTCACTGAATGTCAAACGACGTAACAGAACATTGCATCCAAAAGTTAAAGCATCCATATCCTCAGTAGCCGTGGCATAAACTTTGCCTGCCTTTACCATTGCAGCACACTGGGCTTCAGCCTCACATGGTGCCTACAGTTTCATCAACAATTTAAATTCAACGCAATACTTTAACAAATTAGTTGTATAGAACTTTCACTTACGTCAATGTACGGGATGCCCATCAAAGTAAGTAATTGTTTTGCTTCTTCTGCATGATGCTTAGTTACTTTTACCAATCTCCTGTTGAACTTGTCAACGTCCTCCAAGTTACCTTTATTGTAAAAAAAATTAAGTGAGACAAAGGACAAAACACTACTCTGTTCAAACAAAACAATCGAATTATGACTGATTACCAGCTTCTTCAGCGGCTTGTAACTGCTTTTGAGCTTCTTCCCTTCTTTCGGCACGCTTTGCCAGCTCTCCACCTTTCATGGTAGGTGGCTTGCCATCAAAAACATAAACTGGCTTTATACCATTTTCCACGAGTCTTATTGTTCTGTAGAACGTGCCCATCAAGTGACTAAAAACATATAAACAGAAGTTGTAATTCATGTTCAAATCATCATCCAAAGGATTAGATCTACAATGGGACGTACCTTGTGGTTTCACCATCAACCGATGTCAGCTGTGCTCCTTCTGATCTTACTGCAATTAGAAACTGATACAAGCACATGGAAGCATCAATGGCAATTTTGCGACCTGTAAGAATAAATGAATCCCAGGTTTTCATAATAATCCCGCAAATCCTTGGAAAAAGGGGTTCACAAATCGCTTACCAAAGAGATGTTTTAATTCGCATTCTTTGATGGATCCAGGAGCAATGTCCGCTATTAACTTTGAGAGGCCCAAAATACCCATGATGAATTTTATTAAACAAACACTTGAATTGTACTAATTAAATACCGCATCGAAAGTAAGCAAATGTATTCGAGTATAAAAACAATAAAATTAGGATACGATAGACCCTCTCTCGTGTCGTATTTTCGCATCTCCCCGTTCACTACGGAAGACTTTTGCCGCCAAATCGTGCAATAAATGCGTTTGCCGCCGATTATCGCCACAAGTTATCGATACGAAAATGTGAGTTATATCGATTGATCAATACTCTCGTTGTACACACAAAACGATTTCGATTCGACCACTACTTGCGGCGTTTACACACGTGGTCTATTTGAGTAGTCTGTCTAACCTAATTTTGAAATGAGCGTCTGCTTCTGCTGGTTTGTTTGTTGATATTTTTTGTTGAAGGAAAATTATTTAAGTGATCATGGCTGATTTGATTAAAACTATCGAGGACGATGAGGAAGTTCCTGATTATTCAGAACCGTCTGATTTGGAAGATGACGTGAGTTTTGTTTTTAACAATTACCGTACAGACAAGTGGTAGTAAAATTTAAATGTTTTTATTGTTGCAGTATCAGCCTCGTGTCAAAGAAAAGAAGAAAAAAGTAAGCCAAGAAGTTGACGAAAATGCTTTTTTTACCTGCGAACAAGATTACAATCAAGACACATGGAATGACTTGAGCAAATACATCAAAAGAAAAGTCAAGACAAAGTTGGATGATAAAATAAACAAATACAAAAATTTGCATAAAGACGTGGTATGCATCCCAATAATTTACAGCTGAGTTGTTTTATTTTTACGGTGTCTAAATATCGTTTTAACTTTTAGATGAACGAGGAAGATGATGCAGAAGTTAAAGAAGACGAAAATGAAGTTGAATGGTTTCAGAGCAAAGAAGATCTGAAGAAAGGTTGGTATATACTCAATGTTTTTTCTTTCTAAATTTATTATGGAAAAACTTCAATTAAACTATACAAATTTTACTTCCAGATAACATCAGAACGAAAGAAAAAAAGGCCAAAAAAAGAAAAGAAAAGACGCCAGAAGTAAAAGATTTGATGGAATTTGAAGAATGCAATACTTTTACACAAGCAGCATCATTTTACAACATGAATTTGTCAAGGCCTTTATTAAAGGTAAATAATCAATGAAACGGGGTGATCAGTTTTTTGAACGAATATACACTTAACTCTTGTATCTATTCAGGCAGTCACGTCGATGAAATATACAGTTCCAACGCCCATTCAAGCTGCAACCATACCTTTAGCACTTATGGGTAGGGACATATGTGGCTGTGCTGCAACTGGAACTGGAAAAACTGCAGCTTACATGTTGCCGACGCTGGAAAGGTTGCTATTCAAACCCCTTGACGGAATGGCAGTCACAAGAGTCTTGGTTTTGGTACCCACAAGAGAGTTGGGTGTTCAAGTTTATCAAGTTACGAAACAACTAAGTCAGCATACAACTATTGAAGTTGGCCTGTCAGTTGGTGGATTGGATCTCAAAGTTCAAGTAAGATAAATGTGTAATAAATTTTTCTTCATATCTTATTGTTTAAAATCAACGAGTGGTTTTTTGCCTTATAGGAAAGTGTACTTAGAAAAAATCCTGACATTATTATTGCAACACCAGGACGTCTTATCGATCACTTGAACAACACGCCATCGTTCTCCTTAAATACAATAGAAATCTTAATTTTGGATGAAGCAGACAGAATGTTGGATGAATTTTTTGCTGATCAAATGAAGTTCATCATCAAACAGTGTGCACGAACGCGTCAAACTATTCTATTTTCGGCCACAATGACGGAAGAAGTGAAAGACTTGGCTGCGGTATCTTTAGAAAAACCAGTCAAGGTTTTCGTCGATAGTAACCAGGACGTAGCATTTAATTTGCGACAAGAATTCATAAGGTTTGACAAACTTACAGCTAAATTTTTTTAATTTCAAAGAGAATGACGGTAATGTTTTTCGCGTTTAGGATTCGGAAAGACAGAGAAGGCGATCGCGAGGCAATATTAGCTGCACTTATATGCCGAACTTTCCACGATCACGTTATAGTATTTGTACAAACGAAAAAGCAGGCGCATAGGCTGCATATTTTGTTGGGACTATTAGGCGTCAAAGTAGGAGAGCTTCATGGTAATTTAACGCAACCTCAACGCTTGGAAAATTTAAGAAAATTCAAAGACGATGAGATCGACGTCCTATTGGCGACTGATGTAGCTGCCAGAGGTTTGGACATAAGTGGTGTAAAAACGGTTATTAATTTCGTTATGCCAGCCACTCTCCAACATTACATTCACAGGTAGGAATTATTTCAGACACACAAAAATTCGTACACAAAGCTTTAAACAAAATTTCCTTCACGTAGAGTGGGCCGTACCGCGAGAGCCGGTCGTGGTGGTATTTCTATTTCTCTGGCTGGTGAGGTGGAGCGCGCCGTTGTTAAACAAGTTATCGACAACGCGAAAAATCCAGTGAAACGCCGAATCATTCCAACCGATATAATCGCCAAATATAATAAAAAGTTGCAATCCCTGGATGAAGATGTCCAAAAGATCCTGGAGGAAGAAAAGGCTGAGCGTGAGATCGCCAAAATGGAAAATCAGGCTAACAGGGTTGAAAACATGCTCAAAGATGAAGACTCGAAGGAAGATCGGGTTTGGTTCCAAACAAAAAAGGAGAGACAGAACGAGAAGGAAAGATTAAAGCTGAGTGAAAAACAGAAGGCTGGAAAATCGAACAACCAAGATCCATTGAACATCGTGCAGGAAAAGAAAAAGGCAAAGAAGAAGAAGCCGCAGTTAGATCCGGCGGAAGAGAGAGCAATAAAAGAATTGAACAAAGTTGCAGCTTATCAGGCAAGAATGGCGAAGCGTAATAACAAACCCAAGAAAATCCGCACGATAATCGATGATAGCGAAAGACCATACAACAAACGACCGGAAACAGGTGACTAAGATTATAATCAGCCATAACTGTATTAATCAATGTAAGCTCAAAAATTAACTATTTTTGTGGTCGTTCATTTAGGTAAAAAACGTAAGTCGTCGTTCTTCAACGATTTGACGGATACTAGTCAAAAGGGTGTCAAGAAAATGCGATATGAGTAAGTGGACAGATACAAGTTTTCATTTTTTGTTACGTTTTTTTTTTTTTTTTTTTGACACTTATACATCATTTCTGATTTTCAGAGCAAACGATAAAAGAAAACAACAGTCAAAGAAACTCAATAAAAATAAGTCGAAAGCTAAGCCTAAAAGTTTTGGTGCTTCAAAAGGGAAAGGAAAATCGATCAGAAAGTTCAACATGAAGCAGAAGAAGGCCTCTGGGAAAAGAAAATAATTGTATCATCCAGTTGTATAATCTGTTTATAAACGAAATAGTATGCTTTTCATTAAAATTGTATTTTTTATTTCTTTAAAGTGAGTCACTCAATTGAATACAGTACTTGAGTCATTGTTAGTTGACAATCAGCACTGTATAATCGAATCTATAACGTTTTATTAAGCATTATGCCCGTTACACAGAAATATGAATACTACGGTCGTTAAAAATTTGTTAATTAAATAGCCTCATCGAGAAAATTTAAAACTGTTAACCCAAGTTCATCCAAGAATCCGTATCCTATGTCTTAAGATGATTTGAATAATTTTTTAAATACATTTTTACATGCTCTTGGACAAGTTTTAATTGCCAAAAACGATTTAATTCATGTTAAAAATAAACATAGTACCATCATTTCAGTGCAAGGAAAAAAAAAATTACATTTTGATTTTTACTTCAATCATAGCAATTAAGTTTATCTCAACAATTTTCTCTCACAAAACTTTCATACATTTGTATAAATCACTCATATACTCAAACACTCAGTGTTAATAGTAATTTTATCGCAACAAAACATAAGAACTAAGCCTGCACAGAAAGTGTATTTATATTCAGAACTGTTAGTAAATCTATTATCTTTCTCTTACTGTTAATAAACAGTACGTCATAAATATATCATTATATTATTAGTAATTTGTATTCAAAAATTCCAACCAAAATTACAGGAAATTAATTGAAAACTATCCAATATTCGTAAACCGGTACTCCAAACGGCAAGTTATTTTTCATATAACACATTAAGTTTTAAAAATTGTGCTTTTAAAGAAGTAAAATAAAATAATTGAACAAAGGGCTTTTGTGTATCATCAGAGTATAATTTTACTGATGTACCGTCCAACAACGACGTTAAATATTTTTTTTGTAGAATATAATCTATACTTAATGCAAAGAAAATTAACACTTTTCTGTAAAAATATATAATAATGACAATCTCTTACCTAATTTTTTCGCAATAAGAAAGGGTTTACAAACAATAAACTTCAGGTTTCTAAGATAATGCTATTTAAATAATTATTCAAAAATTTACAATCTTACAAATTTCAGACATGAGATATATTTCTATACCACTGAATATATTCTGATTTATTATTCACTCGCATACTTAACACAAAGTTAATCATTTATGTATATATCTGTACTGATTCAAATGTGGATTGATTTTCATTTTGATGCAACACTTAAAAACGATACAAAAAACTTCTGGTTTATTAAAAAAACGTCATGCTTACATTAATACAAAACTATTAAATACAAACTGACAACAAAACCAATGAAAATTTAAATTTAGATAGTTTTGATTTTTTTTAATGGTACCAGTTTTAATTCACCATTAAAACAAAATAAATTACAATAGTATAGCGTGACATGGTTAGCTTTTTCTATACAACACAATTTGTTTTGTTTTAACTTATATAGCTACAAGAGCCTGTATTGTAGACTAATCGATTTTAATGAGCAATAGACAAATATTAATAACCTATTTATCGCACTTTTTAATCATACCTATACAAAATTATATACTGATCACTTTTACTGTCTTTGAATCAAATAATTTCTTTTTTCCTGAGTGTTGTGAGTCTCCGGGATAAACTTTTTAAACTCTTGATTTTATGCATCATTTTTAAAGACATTACAAAGTGCCTTTTGATCTCATTTAAGTTAAAGTTTTTGGCAGCCACTTCACTTTCTTCATTTACTTTCTTGTAAGTTCTACAATACACGTAAATTATAGTTACACGTCACCACGTCACCGAAATCTTACACGCTAAGTATCTTCTAGAAATACGCAAACAGTTTCTGTATCAACTGTTGTACATTATTAACCAAAATAATCTGTTTTTTTTTTTATTTTTTTTTTATTTTTAGTTGTGATATATTCCCGCAATGTTCTGTAAAAGTGTTATCACACTTTGTAAGTTTTTTTTTCTTTCACAATCTTATTCAGTTTACTTGTATTCTTGTCTTAACTCACAGTTATTTACTATTTTTGTCTGATTCTTTGCATGGTTTTTTCTCTGGTGGCTCTTCCATCTGAAATTAATGTATTTTCATCAGTTACGACATTCCTATAATGTAAACGAACAATTTGATTTTAATATGCAATACTACTCACTTCTTCCTCTTCTACTAAGCCTGGCAGGTGAATTCTTGTTTCAGACGCTTCTGAAGGCTAAAAAAAAAAAATTAAATTTTAGTAAAATTATTTTGAGATTTATTAAACATGCAACTAGGGTCACAATATTATTAAGCTACGAAAACTTGACGTCGACAACATACACCAATTGTTATTACTGCTTTTACCTTAGCATCAATACATTCCATTTCGCCATCATGCAGCTTGAAATAACAATTATGATTGTTCAAGGGGATTTTTAAAGCTGTTTTAAAGCTTATGAGGTTGCAACGCATGTGTTACAGCTTTGACTTGTGCAAGAATAACCGACCAATGAATGAACTATTTGAAGTTCTTAATTATGGTAAAATATAAAAATGAAAACTTTTGACGAACAATTTTCTATAAATTACGTGTTAGTAAATTATCATCCCCTTTCGTCAAAACAATGCGTTGTTCAACATGTTTATTTCAATTTTGAAAGAAAAAATTTATATAAAAATAAAAAATCACAATGTTATTACAAGTACTGCAAAAATGTAAGTTTTCTCACGTTCGTTCATTGATTAGTTCACTGAAACCCCACAGCATCTTAATAAAAACCAATCATAAAAACTATGCTTACCCTAGCATCGGTTTCATTGGGTCCAATGCCAACTTCTTTTTGTTTGCCCTTTGTTTTCCGCGTTGGCCTTTCGTTCGTCAGTGAGTTTATTCCCTTTCCTTTCGGATTAATCATGTTGATTTGCAGCTCAGCTGGCAAATAAATTTTCGTATTCGATATTATTTCGTCGGCTCGTTTAAAGTACATAGTAGGTATCCGGGCCTCGCTGGGAAAATCTTTCATGTCATAGTTTGTTGTTTTTGTAAAAACAACATTCATCGCTATATCACATACAGCCCACAATTTCTACAAAAATAGGCAACGTATACATTAGTTGGGAAATTTCACTGTATTTCGTCTCGTTTTGTTAAGTTTACAAGTGTAAATACTCACGTGGTTCATAACATCGTCATCAGGCCTCAATCCATCTTTATGATTCTTCATTCTCTCTATCAAATTCTTATAAAATCCGTAGCAATAATACTCGTTTTTGCTTATCAATGGCTCTAAAATGAACCATAAACACTGTTGTATAACTTTCAACTGGCTGACCGATGCATAATTTGTGAACTCGGGATCATGAGCGAGTATAGGTACAGCAAAAACCAACATATAATCAGGTAAAATGTGAGGAAGTTTACCTAAAAAAAAAAAAATAATAATAATAACAATAATTTTAAACGAGTAAATTAGGCAATGACTGATTTCTATCAACCATCATACCAAAACGGAAATACAAACGTTCAATCTTACCCATGGCTCGTTCTACGGTTCCCAACGATAAAGTTTTTACATAATCCCTCCTTTTATTAATATCGGTTTGCATGTAAGTTTTAATCGTTTGTTTTAAATTTTTGTTTTGTTCTTTTCCAGCTAGGGCATAGTAGCCCATAAAATCTAAAGGCAGGCATTTATTTGGTATACCTCTGCCAAGACCTTTATGTAGTTTGTTACTGAATGCTTCTCTCACTTGATAAACTTCATCCTGAAAAGGAACACCATTAAAAAATGAGAAAAAATTTTTATATTTTTACTAACACAATAATAATATATTTACTAACCAGCATCAATTGAGACAAGTTATAAAATTGTTCAGCTGTGTATTGATCACCAACTCCCTTTTGTTCGCAAATTTTCAGCATGGAACAGCCAGCTTGAAGGCGTAACCAACTCATTTCTGCTTTACTAAGACGTCCTTGTTGGAGCAAATCACCTTTATTCATTACAAATGCATTAAGCATTCTGAATGTTTTTTGTGCAGAAAGTACATCGTCTTTGAGCCCTAACAGCCACCGAGCCATGCATTTTAATCCTTCTAGTCTACAGCGGGTCTCTTCTGGCAGTTCATCTTCTCTACACCAATCTCCTTCGATTTCTGGTTGCTGCTCAGGGCTTTCTTTTACTAGTAGCTCTTTGACAATCTGTAAAAGTACCATGAAGGATTACACTTCAAGTAAACACATAAATGTTTAACGTTGTAATTTAATAATACTATACTTGTGTCTTACCTTTCGAGAGACCATACTCTTAATGTGTGAATGATATTTTTCAGGTAAATTGTAGGCAATATGGCCAAGAGCAACGATTGCTGTGCGGTAATTTTCAGAGGTGGGAGTAAGATTATTTTTTATTGTTTCAATGATTTCTGGGAATATTTGATCATGACTGTTTATCATGTTGACGAACAAACATCTAACTGCTTGTTTAGCTTGCTTTGTAGTTCCAGATTCGGAGTAAGTCTTACATATAGGCAGCAATTGTTCCATAATTTCTGGTGATACTTCGCACAGAGGTTTGTACTTTCCTAAAAATGTGAATATCGAAAGAACGAGTGGGGCAACCATTTCGTCATCCAATTCCAAAAATTGCACGAGCTGTTCTAAAATGTGATCGTGCAAAAAGTGCGGCGCAAATACAAACGATAGCATCTGTAATAAAAATAATGAATTGAGATGCATATTGATTTTAATTATCAAAGGTAGACAATCCCTGCTTACCAATAATAATCGAAGTCCCTTTTCACCTGCGTTATTAGGATTTAAACCGACTTCTTCGATTACATTTCCACCTTTTAGACAGTCCAGCACATATCCTATTAATACCTGTTGCAAAAAATTTAATTCATGTAATCATGCACAGTTGGTGGAAGGATGAGAAAAAAATCATTGATTACAACTTACTTTTATTGCCTCTTCATCAATTGTAACCGAACTAACTCGTTCCAGCAACATTTTGATTGTGTTGTAGTAAAGATTCGTCATTATGGGTTGACCTAATTTTTTCAGCACGGAACTGATGGCTTCTGCGCAGTCTTTGCACGTAACCGTGGGTGACAATATCGTTTCCATGCTCTGCATCAAAGCTTGTTCTTTTTTCAGATGGGCACTAAATTTTTGAAGAAATTCTTGCACTTTCATAGGCTCAGGTAGAAATCGAGAAATTTGCAGGATCTTTTGTGATAATTCGGGTCCAGTTCCTGTTTCGGACTTTTTGATCATCTCAATCCACTCGGAAACGGATCTTCTTACACTAAAAACATTATTTAAAAATTTTCAATCAAGATAGTCATTTTCTTATTTTTAGAATAACAAACAACTTTAAATTCCGGCCTTAAAGCATGTTAATGATAAAAACTCACGCTAATTGATGCTTTTGAAGTTCCACAAAGGCTTTTGACGCGTGGTCATCTATGGTACCCAGCAAGTGATACAGCTTCTTCATTCGGTCTTCCGCCGGTAATTGATAAGGCACTAAGCACGTATTTAGCAATCTTTCCACTAATAATCTATCTTCCATTCCCGCCATGTAATATCCATGTAAAATCTTATCCTTTATCCACGTCACAGCTTTTTTCGTCGCCTGAGGTACATCCGCGTCATTCAAGTGCTTCTTGTAAATCATTGCCAGTCCGGACATGGCCTCCTTCCGAATTTTAAACTTTTTGTCCAAAGTTCGCTCTTTTACGAATTCCAATAGATCTTCACTATGCGACACGACTTCAAAGTCTTTGCGAGCTGTCGTTACGATCGCCATAACAACCTCGTATCTCACGTTCTCATCAGCGTCATGTTGTCGCATCTTCAGCGTGTCTGTGATGTCCTTCCTGAGTTCAGGATGATTCAGTAGAAAATGCATGGAATACTGTACACACTTGATGCGTATTGATACACTTATATCGTTGAATCGACCCAGAAAAGCTCGCCAGAGTAGCGGGTGTTGCTCTGCAAGTTGTGATCCTCGTTCAGAGAACATTCGCGCGAGGAGAGCCACAGCACCAAGACGCTCCTGCTCATTCGAAGATTTCAACTTGCACTCCAGCTGTGGCAGGACGGACATTAACACGCTAGGACATATATGATTGAGCTCGTAAATGAGGTCATACACCTTGCTGGTGATTTGTAATTTGGCCTCTCCTTTGCCCATTATGAGCACGTGATTAAAGAACTATTAAGATAAAAAAAAAGGCTGACTTAACAATTCATGTGAAGTGTAATTATGTATGTTAAAAACTGACTCAATGAAGAAACTTACGGATTGAATATACTGTTCTAAAATGTCACTACACTTGACAATTAAATCTTTTGCTAATGCATAGGCATTTTTCTTCTGAGTTTTATTTGGTTCAACAATATTTATAAGAATAATGTCCAACAGTTCATTACTAACAAGATCAGATTCGGTTATGAGAGGACACAGCACATCAAGCATAAAACTTTTAACTTTGCCTGAATGCTCATCACTAAAAGGAAATGGTTAGTTTATTATCAATGTACATAATATAAGCTCAACAAAATGATGAAGGTATGTGTACACTTACTTGACAATTTTAAACATTAATTGAAATAGAGCACAAAATATATCTTGGCAGTCTTCAAGCTCAAAGCACATGTTAAAAGATTTTACATAAGCCAAGTTTTCAAGAAGGTAAAAATATCTTTTGAAAGCTGGGTCCTTGGGATCTTTCAATCCAGCCAGTTGTTTAATTAAAAAAAGGAATATAGTTTTTACCTACGACAAAAATTTACGCATAAGACTTAATAATTACGAGAAACTGGTAACAATGATTAATTGAAATTTCAACAAACTTGATTTGGATCTTTATAAGGAGCCTCAGGTGCATACACCCTCAGTACATCAGCAATACAACAAGCAATCAATAGTTGCACATCTTTGCTTGGGTGCTGCAGGAAGGCATCTTCAGCCAGATGTAATGCCAATGGGATGTATTGTTGATACATCCCTTCATCTTGTCCCATTGCTTGGAGAGTATGTGCAAGAGTCTGCAAAGATAGAAGTATTTGTTACCTACCACATACAGGAGACCAGCAAAAAAAATGCTAAAAATGAGGGAAAGAAAAAGTTACCTTGAGCCTTCTTATGAGCTCATCCGACCCAAGATCATCAGTGACGGGTCTACACCCATGTGGATAAACTATTTCTGACATTTTGTCAGTCTTTTTGTTTCAATTCGACAGGATACTGATCAATATTGTTGAATTAAAATACCTTCCAAACTCTGTAACAAATGAAAACAACGTATGCAAACGACAAATCAACTACTTGAATTATGTATAAAAAAATAAAAAATAAAAAATAAATAAATAACATAAAAAAACTTTAGAGCGATTAGCGTATACTTTTGTCATAAAATTTCATACAAACTAGTCGCGAATAGGGATTATTATTGACTAAAAAAAAAAAAAAAAAAAATTTGGTAACAAGCTAAGCACAAATACTAAATGTTCCAAGGACAATGAACGATCCCTACCTTGTTTTCCATCAACATAAACAAACCGAGCAAGCGAATCAAAACGTCAGTGTCAATAACCATCTGAACGTTACCTTAATAGTTAAAGTACAAAAAACAACTTGGCCTACGAGTACCAAAAAAAGTATACGAGCAAGAGTACTTCATTACCAAGTAGGTACACCATACATCAGCACGTACGCACTTTAATACAATAAGAGATAGTAGTAAATACGTACAAGAAACTCCATACACACACGCTCTCGGCGACGAGGTTATGTGCACCCACGCCTCCTCGAGAACGTACAACAACCCCCCTCGCGACCTTCGCGTAAACATCAACAGGCGGACAGACAGGTCTTTCGCGCGTACAACTAGCAATCGCCCCGTAAATAAGATATATATAAGTAAGATTGTTGCTACTTACCTCAGGACAGGCATTTAAGAGGTCACGACGAGACTGCGGGCAGGCTAGCTCTCTGGAGACGACGCGGCTGCGCCTCCTCGCACACCCAGAGGCCCTGCACAGTGCACACACGGGAGGACGCGCGACTTTCCCGGAACACAACAGAGGTGTATACAACCTCCTCCCGCTCTTCACCAACAAAAGAGGAAGAGAGACGTATGCAACTTTGCTCCGACGTGTAAGTGTAGCGGAGCTGTTGGTGATGGTGAGACCGCGGGAGAAAAAGAGAGAAAACTGAGAGAGAAGAGCGTGTGATGTGCTACTATACTGCGGCGGCTCCGGCCACTGCAGGCATGCAAGAGCGTGCGGGCAAAAAAGACACACACACACACACGCTTCGCCTTTTGCTTGGCCGCTTGGCCCTTGGCGAGTCGCGTTGTTGTGTTTTGCAAATCTGCAGTCGCGTATACACACACACGCACACACACAGAGGGAGAAAGAGGGGCGCGCTGTACGCATGCAACAGGATGATTCGTTCTAAATGGAAACGGTGATGATGCTCATCGTCAGGAACTGAAGACAATGGCCGATGTTGTTCAAAGTATTGGCCTCATCCTCCAGCTGAAGAGTTCTAGCACTGCAACCCGAGAGCAAAAACGAGCAACTGTCGCTGACACTCATGTCTCTCTCACCCTTTTCAAGGGTGCGACGTGTATAATATATTATTATAGTCTCTATATCTACTTGGTTATATATTATTGTTTCAATGCACCAAATAAACGCAATAAGTACACACATACACCGTGTTCTTTGTTAATTGTTGCAAGTATAATATACACTTTCAAGTTTAAGGACTGCGCGGGGAGACGGACGGTGATTGATGGGGGACACCCCGCCGGGGGGGTTAGCGCGGTGCCAGTACGAAATTATAAGTAAATATTGGAAAATTATGTGCCAACGGACGCGGTACTGGTGATTTGGCGATGCATCAGGCCAAACGATCACAATGATTTATCTATATCTTCACCTCGTTTACGGCTTTTGCCATGAACCCCCCGACCGCAGCATGAACTAAACTGCGTGGTGCAACGATGGCCGCGGCTTGAATTTTCAGTTTCGCTCGCGCTTTTTAGCTATGGCGCTGTTGCACGTCGTGTGTGCGCGATATCTGCTGCCCTAAGTTTTCTGCTGTAATCATAAATATACAACATATACTTACGTGCAGACGATAAATTTGAATGACAGAGACTGAAAGTGTGTGGGTCAAAAATTGTTTACTGTATGAAGGTCCCCACAGCTATGTACTTTATTTTAATAGTTTTTTGTCATTTCAACACATTTCTTAGTTAATAACTATTGTTTAACATTACTTCAGCTATTTTTTCATGCATTTTCAATTGTTGCAAATAAAGAAAAACGAGAAAGTGGGTGAATCATACGTATACATAAAATACGTGATTTCACTCACGTGTATACGAGATCAGTTTTTATTACTTGAAATTATAGGGGGTTCTAAAATACAATTTTTTGATTACTATCGTATTTTTTTAACAAGTTCTTTTTTTTTTTTTTTTTTGAAACATATGTATTTTGTGGAAACAAATTACTTTTAATCATGTCCTGCACCCAAAAATTATAAACTTTGCTTATGGTTACAATCACATTAGCTCTAACTAATTACAGATTTGCTTGTGTTACCGTCTAATCTTTTTTTCAAAATGTTTGTTTTTCTATTGTTAATCGCAAGATTTTTTAAGGGCACTTTCAACGTTTTTTCTCGTACGATACAATTCGCGTGAAATTCGAGACGTTCTGCAAAATCGTTGATACAAAATAAATCAAATTAAAAAATCTTACGAAATTCGTTTAGAAACACAAGTTTTTAAAAAATTGTATTTTAAGTACAAAGAGAAGAGGAGGAAAAAAAATAAAGAACTGGGTTATCGTGTAAATATTCGATCAGTCAGCAAGTTTTTTTCAAGACATGGAATTTCCATTGATATGCTATCTCCCGAATATTATCAAACTTGTCTTATTCTCTTTGTTTTATTCACGCATGAACCGATGCAGGAGATCTCGCTCGCGTTATCTTAAATTGAGCGATATTTTAGTATTATAAAAACTTAATAATTTTTTTTTTTTTTTTTTGTTTGATAACATTGTGATCTTGTCGAAAATGTACGTAACATTAAACATGCAAAGATACGTTGTACAAATGAAGTTTGTATACACATCACTTGAATATCATTATATTTTATCTGTTTTAATCTGTCTTTTATCTATACATGGCCAACTGAGATATATTACAACACAATGCGTTCAATTTTTAAATGATCGTTTAGAGATAGCTACAAAAAAGTGTAGTATTTTTTTTCTCGAATCACCACTTAAGATATTAAATATGCTGAAAACTCGTGGTTCACAATAAAATATACGTTACCTTACTATTAAATATGAATCAACGAAAATTCCAGTAAACGTCAATTATTCTTCATTTAATTTTTATTGTGAATCGAGAGCTCAGAAAAATGTACCCGAATAAGTGTGATTTCCAAGAACATAAGTACAACAGTTCCAAGTCAAGGACAAAACTCTAACTTAACCGAGATGACGAATTTGATTTATTACTTATTTATTTTGGGTATAATAATACACTTACCATGGAAGAGTTGATTAGACTTTTATTAATACTAAAAATGAAAAAAAAAAAAAAAAAAAATACGTCTTATTCGTCCCGTATAGTTTGTCACGTATGACAATATAACGCGAAAATAGCTCAAAATTAATATATTTTTCCAGATTAAACAGGTAAAGTATTCACCGGAAAACCCCTTTTAAAAAGTATTTTTTCGTCTATCTTTAATATGACGGTATACGTTTTATATGTAATCAAACTCGTTTTTATCATACTTCGTGAAACGATGATTTCCTTTATTTATAGCAACACTCAACTGTTAATTTAAAAATCTAAAAAAAACTCCACACGTCATTTACAATAAATAACATATAAAAATAATTTATCTCAAAGTACAGTAATCATCCAAAGATGTTTTCCATGTTCCATCAAAATGCTCATTCAGTTGATAATATATATTTGGTTAATTATTCACATTTACATTCTTGTTGATTTTATTACGCACAACCGATCAAAGACAACCGATATTTTAGTATCTATGATACACAAGGTCATTCATTATAAAATCGTCGGTTGGACAACAAAACGAAACGTCGACAAAACAACGTAATGTTTGTAATTTTAAATAAAAAAAAAAAAAAAAAAAAGTTATACACTATGGTAAGTTACCCGCGTTAATCAAGACCCTCCAATAGGAGACACATTCTCGCACGGAACTGCCCACCGAGAGAACAATTTTCGAATCACGCTCACCGCAAATACCAAAAAGAGCGCAAATGTACGAAATGTCTGATAAAACCTTCTCTTTTTTTATTATATATAATTTTATTGCGAGAGTATGAAGTTAATATACGAATCACCCCAGAGAGAGAGAGAGAGAGAGCAGTTTTCAGCAAACATAAATAACATCCGCAATGCTTTGCGCTTGATTTTGAAAAACCCACTATTCCATTGTTTATTCGTGTATACGTATATATACTTTGCTCTCGAGAGAGCAGGTGTGTAAAGCCGACACACACGAGTCAAATAAGCCCGGGGTATGTCCAAACGACACACTGTACTTCTCGCAGCTTCCAACATTCACCGCCTCGCGCCAGTTTACATTGACAATCGGCGCTTCGGTTATTTAATTCAAATATCCCGATACACCATACATTTCGGAGCATCACCGATGAAATCTTCGTGGCAGGGATATAATATATTATACCCATGTATATACTTAATACACATACACACACATATATAACTTATTAGGTTTTTCCTTTTCCGTGCACCGGTACACCAGTATATATAGGCGTGCGAGAGAGGGAGGATCGTAGTGCAGTGGCAGTTGTCGTGTGCGCCCGTACGCGACATGTTACCATGTAGCGTATAGTATATTAATTTACCATCGCCAACGCCGGGACTGGGTGGAGAAGAAAAAAAATCTACCGAGAGACGTGTGTGCGTGCAGTGTACCATACACGCGGTGGATGTGCACAAGTGTACACCGGAAGGAAGTGGGAAAAGAAAAACGATCGAGCGAATGAACACCAAAGGAGAAACACAGCGTAAGGAGGAAGTGCGGAAAGAAGAAGAAGGGATAAAAAGGGTAGCGCCCGCGTACGTGTAAAGCACACGTGTGAAAAGGACTTTGTTTTTTTTTTTTTTTTTTTTTTTTGCAGTAGTAAAAAAAAACAAACAAAAACAAAAAAGGAGTCGAAAGACGCGTAATTGGAGGCTGCATTCCGATTAAATTGTACGACATTCGTATACTTGTACTGCAGAGAAGAGAAGGAGAGTTTTAGTGCTGCAAGTGGTGAGCGCCAGAGAGTGTACGCGCGCGTGTTTGTGTGTGTGTATATACATGCATATGCATGGCACGTAGCATGCGTCATGCCTCTCTTAATTTCTGACTCTCTGGGGTGCAGCTCTCTCGTCGTCATCAGGAACGCGTTCGAGGCCTACGGGCGGGGAAAACGATTGTCGTTCTCTCAGGTAAAATCATTATACACTGCTCTGTCTGACGCGCCACTTTAACGCTCTGCTCCAAATTTTACAATTTCACTTGCTCGTGGTTTCCTTTTTTTTTTTTTTTCTCTTTCAATTTTACTTGTACACATTATTATCCATCGAAACGATTCACTATAGCGCACATATTTTGGTTTTTGTCCGCGCAGTGATGCAAATAGTACAAAATGGCAACAGGAGGAGGAAACTTCATCAGCAAGCCCGCAAGGGGCTGGCTACATCCCGACCACCTCATGTGCAAAGAAGGAGTCACTTATGCAGTACGAGTGAGTCTTTATTTATTTATTTATTTTTTTTTTTTTTTTGGCAAAAACAAGTGTCGAGTATTCCAATCGAAATGTCCTCGTTTTTTCCTTCCAGTACGTGGGCTGCGTGGAAGTTTTCGCCTCGATGAAGAGCCTGAACTTCGAGACGAGATCGTGCGTCGCAAAGTAAGCCGATTTTTCCATCTCTGTCTAAGATTTATATATACACACACATATATACATGTTACATGATCGACACCGATCTATCATACATTGATTGTTGTTCGACTTCAACAGAGAGTGCATAAACCGAGTTTGCGAGGCAGCTGGACTGAAATCTGCCGACAAGAAACGAAGGGTACGTATATGCGCATGAAATCGGCGATGACGGCGATCATGTAACTCGAAAGAACATTTTCGTGTGCACGTCAGGTCGACAACAAGGTCAAGAGGGCCATCGCGGACAAGCCGTGCATGGAGCACGCGGGCTCCAACATCAATTTGACAATCAGTAGTTCTAGTCTGACCCTCACGATCCTGGAAACCGGCCAAGTCATAGCCAAACACATGCTGCCGCGGATATCGTTTGCTTCGGGTGGCGATACCGTTAGTATCACCCCCCCCCCTTTTTTTTTTTTCTACCTTATTTTTCCCATATATGTTGTTGTCGAGGACAAAACAAGCGACTTTTCTTCCCTCCAGGAGATCCTCGACTTTGTGGCCTACGTAGCGAAAAATTCGTCGGAATGGAGGGCTTGCTACGTGTTGGAGTGCGGTGGTGGTCTGGCCCAAGACGTGATCCACACCTTCGGACAAGCCTTCGACTTGCGCTTCAAGGAATTCCTCGAGAAGGACACCACCGGTAAACTGTGAGTTTGGTTTCCCTTTCGTTTTCGACCGATGTGTACTTATCGAGGAGCCAGCCGAATTTGAACTCGAGAGTTTTGTTGCGATGCAGTCCAGCAGGGGTGAACGGCTCGAAGGAGGCCGATCGGGATTACTACAACGACTTGCCGGGCAAGGTGCCGCCGGACATTGGACCACCTCCGGTGCCGCCTTTGCCGGTTTGCTCTTCTACTTTGCCCAATTTGAAACACCACCACTCGAGCTCGGCCAGCGTGGGGACGCTATTCACCAGCAACAGCAGCACTTGCATACAGAGCACACCTTTGCCGGATCCGATCGCCGGTGGCGTCAAATCGTCGCAACAACAGTGGTCTGGTAATTTTTTTTCCCCCTCCACTTGATCCATCCAAATATGCGCGTCCATGGGCGGTTAATGTATACATACGTGTGGCTTTTCCAACAGACTCGGGTAATTTGATAGACTTGAGCTCGGACGGTTCTGTGGCATCCAATTCGAAACCGGAGCACAATTACGTCAATGCGAATCTTGACAATCGGCGAGAGCCCGCAACATTTTTCGATGCCTTTGACATGCGTGAGTTGGATGATAAGATTATATTATTTTCGATCAATTGATTTGAGTTTACATTTGTGGATGGTAAATTTCTTCTTTTACAGAGCCATTTAGTACAGCCATATCGGAAATGAACAAATTGAGTCCGCAATCTCAGAGGCGACAGTTGAGGCAAGAGATTTGGTATCACGGAAGCGTCAGTCGCGCGGAGGCAGAAGCTATGTTGACGAGAGTAATGACAATTTCCTCTTCTTTTTTTTTTTTTTTTATGAGTTCATGTCAATGAATCAAGGAAAGAAAGCCCTAGTTCAGAAAATCTATTGTGTGTTGGATTCTGTAATATTTTCCGGCTAAATGCAACGGTCAATCCTATTTTTAAAAAGCGCTTTCTTTCCCCGAGTCTTTGGACACAATTATTTTATAAAAGTGAGTGTGACGTTTATTGTAATTTTTTTTTTTTTTTTTACCAAGGATGGAGACTTTTTGGTACGTGAGTCACAAGGTACACCGGGGCAGTATGTTCTTACGGGAATGAATCATGGGATACCGAAGCATTTGTTGCTCATGGACCCCGAAGGAGTTGTTAGTATAATTACATTACTATTTTTAAAAATTGATATGGCTTGTGATATGTTTATAGTAAGACAAAAAAAAAAAAAAAAAAATTACAAATAATTTCAGGTAAGGACGAAGGACCGGATATTTGACAGCGTGAGTCATCTTGTTAATCATCATTGCGAGAACACGGTACCGATAATTTCGGCCGACAGTGCACTGATACTCCGATATCCCGTGCCAAAACGGACAGCATTTTAAAAATCGAAATTAAAATAACAAAACATTTTACAAGTCATGTCTTGAGCACATCTTTTATCTATACATTTAACACTGAAGTGGATTTTATCGTGCTGTTTACAAGCTCTTCCTCTAATAAATGTATTTTTGTATTATATTCTTTAATTGGTATAACAATCGTAAGATATATATATATATATATATATATATATGTATGGCGTTATAAATACGTAAGCTACAAGTGTGTAAAATCAAATTTAAGAACAAAAAAGTGTCTATCCTTGCAAAACGAGGAAAATATTTTATTTACTTTTTATCTTTTGAATAAATTTTATCAAAAAGAAAAAAAAATACTGTTGTTTCCATTTGTTACTATACATGTTCTGTTACATTGTAACACTTTATTGATTTACTTTAAAATTACATCTCTTCATGTAAGTAATGACGGTTATTTCTCATACATCAGTAAGTGATTCAAACTCTTTGTAGATGACTCACACTGTTTTAAAAATTTTAAGCTTCCAAATGTAACTATTTATCACGGCAAGTGTGTAGATGAGCTGTATAAAAAAATTGAAATCGTAAGTAATAGTAAAAGAAGCATTATTATTATATTTCTTAAGAGTAACATTTTAAGGAAAATAACAATACGATGTATAAATGTTCATCGTATTCACACCGAAGTAAAAAATGGAGATAATGGGCCATCACTGCAAGATATTTGTGATACGAATAAATAAATATCAGTTGTCTCCGAAAGTTGCGAAGGATACACAAAGGATATGGTATGCATGCAAATACATAAATGCAGTATTATGTACAAAAAAAAAAAAAAAAAAAAAAATCTTACTCGTAAAAAAGTAGGTCACTAATGACTTTGTTTCTTCTGAGATTTTGTTGCAACTTTCCGAATGTGTAACGACAAAAGCAATCAAATTTAAATGGGTTTCTCGTGCGCATGCGTCAAAATGACAGACTAACAGTTTGAAGTTCAATTTCTCGTATACTTACCTGTCCATCGTACGTACGTACGTACGTAAAAAAAAAAAAAAAAGAAGTTTTTTCGGGAACAAGTTCTAATGACCGTAATGGCATTTTTACTCTGATAAGCTTTCGAATTTAAAAAGACTCAAAGAGAAATGCACTTGGGTGTGATGTATTTCCTATATGTATACATACTTGACTTTACACCGTAGAAAATCACTGATTTTGCGATTTTATTTTAACGGGCAGAAAAAAAATGCATACGAAATATCCATACTGCTTATACATTATACCTACAATTAGCAATTCCAGTATACTACATATACATATATACGTATAAAAAATGTATCGGTGTGTAAAAACTAGCCGCACACTCGTATCGTTAGCTGCGGGCGTTGATACCGTCGAGTCCAAAGCAACGCCTATCGCTCGGCTGCGTGTATAAGGTTTAGAAATATTAGATAAAGAAAAGACCAATTGCTTGCGCCGCGCAACGGCTCGACGTATCACAATGCCTTTTTTTCCACGTAAATGACGTAAAAATTATTTTTTTTCGTCATTAAAAGCCATTTGGAGACAATAGCCTTCCAAAAGATTTTCGACTCGGTCGACCAATGCTTGTCGGAACGCAGACAGAGTTTGCCATTACGTGGTTCCAACCGGCAGTTGAGTCGCGCAGCGGTGCGAGATGTGAATCTCTGGGCAAGCAACCCTACGATAAACATACCAAACGACGTGTGTGCACCGATGTCACGCGTGAGTGTGACATTTTGAGTTATTTTTTTTATTTTTATTTTTTTTCCACCTTTCGTTCACCAACGGGGACACACCCGGAAAAGAACTGCCACTCGATAACACAAGAGGTTCAATCATGGGGATACTGTTTAGCAAAATAAAGAATCGCCGTGCCCAAAACGCACCCGTGCCCGACCAACTTTGCAGTAAATGCATGAAGTGCACGCAACCGCAGTTGCCGGGTAATTTGCGTTTAATCCACGATTTTTTCACGACATTTTTTGTCCTTGATCGTGACGTATTGTTGCAGCGAATGACTCGGAGGTGCCGAAAGACTCGGAGGTGCCGAAAGACTCGGAGGTGCCGAAAGACCCGAGCCCGAGCGCTTCCATCTCGAAACCGGAGCACAAGCGTGGCAATGATTTAGTCGTTAAGACGCTGCGGAGAAAACGACGAGAGATTTCAACCTCGCACGATTCAAGGGAGAAGCGTAAGTTGAACAATTAATCTTATTTTTCGGTCGAGGAGAAGCAAGCGCGGGTGGATTTTCGTAGCTGGAATTTTGAGGGTTTCACTCTCTACCTTGTTTTTTTTTTTTTTTTTTTTTTTTTTGCAGTANAGAATTGTTAGAAGTTTTATATTTTTTACATGTATTAGATTTGTATATTTATGCGTGCATTAATTGTGATCACTTCTAACTCCAACTACAGTCACAGTGCGTATTTTTCTTACTTTTCGACAGTATTTTCAACTTACTTTTTCTACTCCTTTTATCAATCTTATCTTTTAAAAGTGGTTGCGATAGTTATTTGATACCACGGGTAAGTCCAGGTCTACTCCAGTATGCCACCTTCTCTCAAAAAGATCGATTACCACGTGGTTTGTTTTGTGGGATTTAATAAATATTAATTGCACTGAATTTTAGTAATAATAATTATATTTAGTAATTTTCCAACGATGCATGCACATACGTTATTGTAGAAAAAAAATATTTTTAGAAAATTACCTGTTCGTTTATACTTTGTCATTGTAAAAAAAGGAAATTGTAAGCAAAATTTGTTTCATACTGCTTGTAAAATGAAGCCCGAAATGCTCGATTTCTTATAAAAATCAGCGAATTCACGCAATCTTAGTTCATACGGTTTTATAGATCCTGTCTTGGAGAAAAAAGAAAAATATTCAAACGATGGCATAATCGAGGCGCATCGTAACAATCAGCGGGAAACGACCGGCACTTCATCATGTGATGCTAATAACAACAAACGTAACGAGAAATTAAATTACATTTTGTAATTAAACAAAAAAAAAAAAAAAAAAAAAAAAAAAAAAAAAAAAAAAAAAAAA